CTTTCTGCCAAATTAATTCTGTATACATCAATTTTTATAAACATTTTCATCTTCTTTCGAAAAATATATTTATCAAAATTTTGTATAAATGATCGTGATTTTATCATGATGCGTATATTATAATATGCTATGATTGTTGGAGTTTGTTTTTATTAATCTTTTAGCGTTTTAAGTTTTTCTCCTCATCAACAATCGCGACAATTTAGCTCGGAAAGTTTTCACTATTTTACATAATCATTTATTCATACAACGTAGCTATATGAAGGGAGATATGAAAAAATTTGCCTATGCAAATTCCCTTCCCCCATCCCCCTTCACTTCTCAAAAAATATATACAATGTATATTACTATAAACAATTATTTAAAATAAGTTAAAAATTTTAATTAATGACTATCTAATTCAAAATTTTTTCTGAAAATACCATTTTATATATTAGAAAAAAAGGTGAGAACCGCGAAATCACTTTTATAGCAACATTGAACCTAAAAACCCACCTAAAGGATCTTCCCTCCATCCCTATAACAAAGTCTTGGCTCTGTCTCATGTATTTTATTAAACGTTATTCAATTTTTTCAAAAATTTGAGATTAGATTCGTGAACTTTAAGTAAGAAGAATAATGATTTGATGCCTGAATCCTATTTTAATCCCATTTGTGGCTTAACAATTCAACTAATCTTATTAATAAATTAATTATCCCTATACGTAAACGTTTCGATAAAATATACCAAACAATTTTTAAAATCTACAATATAACATGATTTTGTATTTAAGATGGTTAAAAAAAATATATTATATAGTTCTACAATAAGCATGAATTACAATTATCATGATTCGAATTTATGGCTTATGTTTCATAATATTTCTATACAGTAAAAATTTATACAATTTCAATTAAGCAACTTTTTCTATAATAAATTAGTAGTAATAAGTGGTTACAAATCCTGACCAAAAAGTTATGATTGTTAAATCCTTTATGAATATTTTTTTAAACTTTCTAACAGATATATATATATATATAATTTTATAGTTTAAAAAGAAAATAGTTTATATACTTACAATAATAATCCAATGTAATTTCTCATGTTGTGCCGATCGTTTTTAACACAATTTCAATATCTAAGGAAGTTGCTGGAAAAACTTATAATATATATATATCTTATTTCAGCAACACGTATTGCAAAAAAATTAGAGAATTATTATAGTAATACCTTATTTATATTTCTTGAAAATGAAAGATGCAATCATTTATCATATTTATATTTAATTTTATAAAAAAAAAATGTTTCGGCATCGGTATAACGTAATTTTACGTCAAGAATATCTCTCCATTTACTTGAAAAATATGGAAATTATAACGTCAAAAGCGGAATGATCTCAAATTTCCGAATATGAGAATGATATTTTTCGAAAGCTAATAAACGCGATACTTATGATATTACATTACGTATAATATATACTAAATACTTACATGACATCAAAAAAAAATTATCATTTTAAAATTATATATTTTTATAGCAAGATTTTAACAAAAATAATAAGCATTTTAATCGCCCAAAATTTTGAGCAAACATTTGTTGAAGATCAACATAATTAAAGTATTTTATTTTAGGAAAAATAAATCAAGACATTTTTTTTTCAAAAAAATTTGTGATTTTATCATCAAAAAAATGTTTATGAATAAATATCACAAAAGATTTACTTATAGAAGATTTATGTATTAAAAAAAAATTCTTTTGAACACAGTATAAAACCCTGATTTAAAGAATTTTAAAATTTACAATTATGGCCAATTATTGCCGAGAATATGAGATTGATAAGGAATAAAGCGTACCTCAAGTAGGTTTAATCATTAGAACTCTCAAGATACCAACGAGGGTTACTACCTAAGTCAGAGGATGACCCTAAGCATAGTAAAAAGTATTGATTTCTACGTTATCTAAACCAGACTCCTACAATGGAATATCCTATACACTTTGAATACGTTTTGAACTACTCAGCTCGGCAATAAATACATTCAAGAAGCCACCTTTATTCCTAATCGAATGAAAGGAAAACAACTATTTCTGCTTACTTCACATAACTGGAATAAAAAATTATTTATTTTTTCGATATTATATATATCTCAATATCTTGTAGTGCTTTTTTTGTAATATTGTGCTAATTCTTGTTTAGTGATTAATAAAAAAATATATAATTAATTTAGACATTTTTTTACACTAATATCGATATAAAAAATTTAAAAACATCAGGGGATAAAAGGTCATAATTTTGAATTTAAGTTTATGAGAAGTAGGCAGAAATATAGATCGGTTTCCTTTCATTCGATTTAGAATCAAGGAGGCTTCGTCGCTGTATCCATTACCGAGCTGAGTAGTTCAAAGAGTATCCCAAGTATAGGATTGGGTCTCGTTAATTGAAATATAAAGCTGAGATAGTTACCTTTTGCTTTAAAGGGTAACACTATTTAATTTTTACTTTAAAAGGAGCTTATCTTCGTAAATCAATAAATTTATTTATATTTTTTGATATTATAAGGACAGAGGCTAACCTAAATAATAATTAAAATAAACCGAATTATTTCTTCATTCCTATATAGTGTGTGCTTACAAATCGAAGCATTTGTAATTTATATGGCGATTCGAAAGAAAATATAAAAAAAACGCACAAAAGATCTAGCTTTAATTTGAGTTTATTCTCTTCACTTCTCTTCTCTTCTAAAAAAATGAACCGCAAATTATAAGAGATTTTTTTTAGAATATATTCGATGTTCCATAGATAAATTAGGATGAATTTTGAAAGATATCACTTGAAATTTGTTATTTGCGATTCGATATGCGTCCAAAATGGCTCAATTTTAAACGTAACTATTATAATTTCAATGATATATATGTTAGCGTCAATATTTTGAAATTATCGACAAATACGGCAGATAGAAATCCTGAAATCCCATTTCCCAAACCTCATAGAATTTTCCATCCTGTGCTTAACATTCTTTTCTGTGTTATTATTTTTTAAAATCTGATTTTATCGGAAATTTATTCAATCATGTTTTGGAATTACCTATCTTATGCATGGTAGACAATTTTGCCTATTAACCTTTGAGTCATTTAAAATTTAAAAATGAAAAATATGAGAAAATTTAATATAAATTATATAAAGTTTAAAAGTTCATATCAACAAGAAATAAAATCGCGAATCAAAATCTTCAATTAGTGATACCGATATTGTTAATATAATTATTTTTTTTAACTCGGATATTTAATAAAATTCAAAATTATGATATAACAATATTTTGCAGAAATAAACCTTTAACAAATGCTCTATAGATTTCTAAAAAATGCAACAGTTAATATGTATAAAACACTGGAAAAATAGTAAATTCTACAATAAAACCCATGTCCAAGTAGGTTTAAATTGATGGAATGAGGCATTTTATAGCCAAAATGTTATGTAGTAAAATGAAATATTGAAAGGATAGTAATCCTTTTCTTCAGAGGCTGAAATTCTACAATAAAACCCATGTCTAAGTAGGTTTAAATTGATGGAATGCGGCATTTTATAGCCAAAATTTTATGTAGTAAAATGAAATAGTAAAAGGATAGTAATCCTTTTCTTCAGAGGCTGTAATTTTTTTAAGCATCAAGATTTGGCTAATAGATCCGAACCTTTGTTCCATCTACCAGCAAAATCTTCAGGCGTGAGTAAATATTTTTTCTGGATAAAATTTTTAGCCGTTTTTGAAAATCGACTCAAACTGTGCCGTTTAGCTACCTATTTCAAAAAAAAAAGCTATGAATAATTTTTTTTTTACCCTAAATGTATCTATTAAGTTATTTCTTTTTTTTACAAAGGATGAGATAATTGGATGTTCTATCTATTTTGTAAGGACCATATAATTTCATTTTTTAATTTTCCTTCATTTTCGCGTTTTAATGTCCCTCTTCCCTCTAAACGTTATTTATCTCTAATAATTTCCCTCATAATTTTTATTATTTAAATAAACACAATGCATTATTGGAAGGTAAAAATCGTTAATAAAAGCTAAATAATATAAGCGCATTTTTAATCTATTTGTTCCGCTTTATAAATTATACTTATGTATTGTCCTTAATATGAAAGTTAAAAAAAAAAAATTTTTAAATCCAAATATAAAAAAAACTTTATAAAAATACACTAGGAAAACATAGAAATAAAAACAATAAGATAATGCTAGAAGGTGCCCAATGCTTATGGCACCACCGTAGATTGATACGGTGTATGATCTGCATAATTCCATCAATATCCTTTTAGGTGAAGGCAAAATTATGGGAATTGTAGATTCAAGTAAAAAAACGATGGTTTTTTCTTTTCGCAAAATTAAGTACAAAATTCTAGTGTTGTTAAATGGCTCGTTTTGAGTCGATTTTTAAAAACGGCTAACTCAATATTTTATCCAGAAAAATATTACGCAAACCCTGAAAATTTTGTTCCTAGAAGGTAACAAAGGTTCTAGACATATATTATCGAAATCTCGAGGCCTTAGGCAATATTTTTCTGGATAAAATATTGAGTTAGCCGTTTTAAAAATCGGCTCAAAACGAGCCGTTTAACAACACAATAAAATTCGTTCATTTCATTTCTCTTTCTTAGGGTGGATGGATGTGATATGTGATATTAATAAGGAGAAGGACAACGTAAAAAGCGTCAAAGTTAGAATTCTTTACTGTTGCTTACCATAGAGTAGATCTCTATGATAATCAAAATAAGTTGTTTTGAACGAGAATACCAGATTATAAATAAATAAGAAACTAGAATTTGTTTATAGAAGACTTTCACATAAAATTTTGAATTTTCGCTGGTAAATGGTGCTTTAGAATAATAAAATTTATTATAATAAAAATTAAAATAATTTATAATATATTTGATATATTAAAATTACAAAAACATATCCGGAAATAAATAACACTTGTTATCGAAATAATAATTGAAATATTTTTTTTTACAAATCGACAAAAACCAGGAATAATACTTTCCGTTGGAGTTTTTGTTTTTTTTAAGGTAAAAAGATTATTTGCGCTGATAAAAAATGGGGTACGGTTTTTTGGAGACATCGTTAAGATATCGCTTGAATCGCAAGATAGCGTGAATGGTCTCGTGTTTTGGTGGGAAACGTTTGGCGCCCTTTTTGCTAGTTTTAATGGGCATAGCTAATGCCTCCGGAAGGGAACCGGAAGTAATTCGAACGATCACTTTGCCACTTTGACCGAATGCCGACTCAATTTTTCCGACGCAAATGGGCATTAGCGAAGTATTGTTAGGATCGTTAGAGCCGGGCTGAATCTTGGTCATGATGCTGCCGGAATTGTCTTCGTGGTCAACATATGTAGCGGGATTTTCGCTGACGGATTCAATTTTAAGAGTCTCGATGGCATTTTCCAAGTTTTCCCGTTGTTCCTGAGTTTGGGGACTAGTTTCGCGTTTATCATTCGAAATATCGCCAATCGGGTGACTCGAACCCATATTGAAATTTTTCTTACAGAGATCTCTACCGCTTCTAAAAATGCAAAGTTATATTTTTTTTATTTAAGTCGATTTAGAAATTGCAGCGTGTAATATGAATCATTCTAAAGTAATTTATTTTTCATGAACACCTAGAGGAATGTTTAATAGCTACCCAGTGTATTTATTCCAACTTAATTACTTTTTATTTTGAATATTCTAAAGAAATAGTAGTTAAAAAAAAGTTATTGCCTAGATGCGTTGTTCCATATAACAATTTCTATCGAAAACTTTAAAAAAACGTCTATTACAAACGCGTTGAGACAACCCCTTCAATTAGAAAATCCGCAAATTAACGCCTACTCCCAAGAATTTTGGGTATTATAGAACGATACGATGATTCTAAAAAAAAATTGAAATTCCGGTGGTCGGAACATGGGGGATTTGCCATTTCCGCTTTCTTAATCAAACTGAAATTAATTCTGTTTTTTTTAGAATAAATCTCATGAAGATACGCAATTTTTTTTTATTACCGGGTAACAACTGTTTGGATGTATTATTGCGCTTTAAAAAAAAGGATAATATAAAAAACGGTATTTCCCTTTCCGGTGTAAGAAGATTAAACTTGAAACTAAGCAATTCGGTCTTATAAAATATTTTTACGTGCAAGCCTCCCGTTCCAACACCTTTTTCAGGATGTCATCTAATTTGAGATTGTGACCATTTTCAATGGCGGAGGAATAAAATTCGACGTCGAACCCGGCGAAGTGATCCCTAATTAAGCGTGCCGATTCTCGCCTAAACATGGCTGACACGATTAGTCGAGTTTCGTCTAACATTCGTTCCGCTAGACCTACGCGAGTAGCGAGTTTGAAGGTCCTACGGATCAGTTTTTCAGGTTCCAGGCTGTCCAAAGAAGAAATAAATTTCGTAAAATTATATTTAAAATTTCAATTTATTTGTTCTCACTTCAATATTCGTCCACAGAAGGCTATCCGGCAGTTTTTCTTGCCCTTCAAAATGGAGTCGTCAGAATCGAGTCGAGAAGCGATGTACAGAAAACCGGGAGCCGAAAGAACCGGGCCTTCGCTGAAGCTTAAAATCGCTATGACCTGTGTTAAATATATTCGCGCATTATAACTTACCTTTCAGCTATAACCCCTTTAAATTGGGTGACAATGGCAAAAATGTTCGCGCGTAATTTAAATAAAATCAATTATAAATATTTTTTTTTAAAAATAGGTCTTTACGAAACTTTTAATTTGCCGTTTTACCGATTTTTTGCCGACAACCCGATACTAGAGAATATCAGGCATTGTCGTCAAAAGGGAAGAGGATTATTATACATAAGGTTAAATATTTTATATTAATGTGATTTCCTTAAATCAGAGACGCGTAGGCCCGACCCGAATTTAAAAAATTATTTTCAAATCCGGCCGGGTCAGGCCGAGCCGTGCAAATGGTAACTCTGCAAGGTCTCCGCTTTATATATTTGATCACTATTATATATGTCAGATGATGTTGATAAAGATAAAGATAAAAGACGAGGCCTAGAATTTAAAAAAAAATAAAATTAATACAAAATAATCCATTACAATCTTAAAATAAAAATTATAACTGATTTTTAACGCAGTTTATCCCAATAATCTTTAAATTTGGTCAATAAATTATAGCAAGAATATCGATTTTTTAAAACTTAAAAAACTCCATTATCTCAGGTTCGAACAAAAGTATATTGTTTTCAATTAAAAATAAAATAAGATATGGATAATTAATCCCATAATATTTTTAACGCGAATATCTAATCTTGGGGTCAGCGGAAATTTTGCCTGCCGGACTGATTTACCGCAAAAATTTTGTCAGATGTGTACCCTTAATTAATGTTCTTTCCGTATGATTTAACTCAACCCTACCATCCGAAAAATCATAAACCATTTCTTTCTAAAATATAAATTATATGCAAGTTCATTTATTTTTTTTACATAATTTAGGAATTACTTACTAACCTAAAATATATATTTAACGATTTATGAAATGAAGGTTGGGGGAAGGGAGACAAAATTTCGAAAGATGATTTATAATTTACGACATATTTTGAAACCTGTCAAATCAAATGAAAATTCTGCCGTAAAGATTTTATGCACGTGTGCCTTAAAACATTGAAAAGCCATTTGAAAAAAAAGGATATTTAAATAACTTCGACGTTATCTCCATTTTCGTTATTCTCCAAGCCATCCAATCTCATATATTCGATCTCATCGTCATAATCGCTTTTATCGCAGCGCGGCCCAGCTATTTCGAGAAATCGCGCCTTAGCCAATCGTGTCACGTGCCCAATCGACACGTGATAAAGAGTATCGGAGTTGCATACACCCCGAAAGTGCCTTATACGTCTTGCGCTAACGCAAATGGTGGCTGAAGAGTTGAGATGGCGTAAAGGAATCTTTAATTATTTATTTTTAAAAAGATACATCAATAGCATATAGAAATTAAACTTAAAGGTAAGCAAAATTATAGCAAAATATTTTCGAGGAAAAACTTTTTATCCTTCCATTTTCTATCTTTCTTTCTCTCTTTCTTTCTTTCTTTCTTTCTTTCTTTCTTTCTTTCTTTCTTTCTTTCTTTCTCTCTTTCTTCTTTCTTTCTTCTTTCTTTCTTTCTTTCTTTCTTTCTTTCTTTCTTTCTTTCTTTCTTTCTTTCTTTCTTTTCTTTCCGAGTGCGTTATTAAGATTAAGTTTAACAAAACTCATATGGCACATCTCCAAAGTTTAATGGATATATATGGTTACAAAGCTAAGGCAATCTACCTCTGATCCAATATTAGCAACTGTTCCCAAAAATGATCCGGCAATAATAGCAGTTACTGGATCGCGTTTAAGCGAATAGGAGTATATCGAACTGGTAAAACATTTGCGATTATGTAAATCGTCCTACATAATAAATAAAAGACGAGGAAAAGGAGGGGGAGGGGATCAAATTTTATAAATTACTTGCGAATGTGATTTATGAGGGCGGAGCGGAGAACAAGCATAACCGCGTTCGAATGTAATGTCCAATCGGGGTAAACATACGCCTATTCGATCACCCTATATTTACATGTCAATATATATATATATAATGGTCGTAGTAAATTTATAGAGATTTTAATTTTAGTCGATTTACGTTATCATATTCTCACTCACTATATTTAAAAAAAATATATAATTCTTATAATCTCGTAATATTTTTTCAGATATCTTATATTTTGGTACAGAATAAGATACAAAATAAACTAGAATAAGATACAATACAAACTAGAATAAGATACAATAAAATTTCTAAAATCCTGCCTAAATTTTCTCCAAATATTTCTGCCAGCAGTCGATCACTAAACTATCTCTTTTTTTTGTAACTTTGTATGACTCATCCTTTTTCTTATTTTTTTATCTCTACTTAAATTGTTTCAACATTCGAATATTACAACACGGATTATCAGTTCTTTATTATCTTTACGATTTAAGCCATTGATTATTTCATTGTTTCTAAGGCCCCGTTTACCTTGAATTCGTAATGGCGCGATTGCGGTTTAACAGCTGACATTTTTTTAAATATGATCATGAGATCAATTTTTCTTTATCAAAATAATTATTTCTTAGATTATTAATTGTGAATTGAATTGATATTAATATTAATAAATAAAAATTGATCCCATAAACAGATTTTAAAAATCGATCAGCTGTTAAATCGCGATCGCGCCACTATGAATTCAGGGTGACCAAATGTAGCATGAAATTGAAATTGCACTAGCATAAAATTTAAAAAATTTTTTTTAAAAAAATGCGTTTAGTTAAATCATAAGGCTATGATAGACTGACGACGCCCTCGTAAATAATGCATTGGAAAGCGTCATCGAATGCGAATCAGCTGGATCCGCCATTTTGGTATTCCATAATATAGCAATTATTTTCATGTTAAAAACTACTATGTATTATCCTAATTTTTTTTTAAATTAAAATGACAAATATACATTATCCTAATTTTATGATCCCAGATTGATGTTATATTAAAAAAGAATGGACAACAAAAATGGCGTCCCCAGCTGTTTTTCGTTGATGTACACTTGAATGCATCGTCAGTCTATGTATTATTACATGTCATTGGGCTATTCTATAGTTTGGCCATGAACATTACATAGCTCCATCATGGTAGTTACTACAATGACATATATAATACCTAGACTGACGATTCATTCATTAAAATGCATTTTTAAGCGTCGTTAAAAGCAAATCAGCTGGGCCCGCCATTTTGGTAACACATATAGCAATTTTTCTCATGTTAAAAACTACTATTAAATTGATAACTTGCTTCCTTATTATCTTGATGAGCCGGTAATTTTTTAATAAAGTTTTCATCAGATATAGGAATAAATTAGGCGATAAATATACAACATCTAGATCATTTTAGAGCTCGTTTAAAATTTTAATAATGATTAGTGTAACCAAGATGGCGTCTCCAGCTGATTTGCATGTACACTTTTAATGAATGAATCGTCAGTCTAGGTATTATATATGATGTCATTGAGTTACTACGAAAAAAGACACCTAATAATTAAATGTTTTTTTTTTAAAAAAAAAGAAATTATTTGTCACTTTAAACAGCTTCACTTGGCTAAGACTATTTTAATGATTTGACAACCTGGATGGCATTTTTGACAGGTCTTTTGTACATCTGAATGGATTTTATCTTGCGGGTGATACTTAGGTCTGGTATTTCCAATTCCTATTTTAATTAAGTTTTTTTTTAATATAATTTCTAAAAATTAATAAAAAATTTTTTATAACTAATCAAATGCATTTAAAGTTATTTAATAATTCATCCAATTTTTAAGCCTGAGGTTAGGCACAAACCGAACTAAATTAATTTTTTAAAAAATGTGTGAAAATCATTTTTGAATTTGTGAATTCTAAATCAAACAATTTAACCAATAGGCCTTTTCCTATGAGAATATTTTTGAGTAGCATTCTCCCCTCTCCCATAAATTTTATCAGAGGTTTTTAGTCTTACTTTTTATGTCTTAGGTCAGGTTTACATTTATTTTTTAAAAATAATTTTGTTGGTCTTACACCATTTTCTTTTGTGAAATTAATTATAGCCATCATTTATTAAAAAAAACTATTAAATTATATATATTTCTTTTTTAAAATTATTTATGAGATCCTATATTAATTTTATGAATGAGGGGGGAGGGGAGTTTATTGGCTAAATGATTATAAATAAAATTTTACAATGCCATCCCTCCAACTATGCTTATGGGTCTATATATTACAGTGTTATAAATTACTAATTTTATATTCAAAAAAATCAAATATTATATATATGAGTGATAAGATAAATTAAATAATAAATGGGAAGAAATTATATGGAAAGTTTTTAAATCGCTATTTTTTTAAAAAAATATGATTTCGGTTATAAATTTATGTTCAGATTTTTTTAAATAAATGCTCAATTTTACAATTATTTCCAGTTTTTTTTAAATAAATGCTCAATTTTACAATTATTCCAGTTTTTTTTAAAATTGTTTTGCATTTTAAACAAATTCAAAGTTTTAAAATCGAGTTTGCAATTTTAATCTAAATTACAAATTAAATTACTTTATATTTATTATTTACTTATAAATTTATCAAATAGTTAAGATATCTATTATATTTTATATAGTTCAGGGTTATATAACAAAGATAAGGGTTAGTGTGATTAAGAGGAATACTAATTTTATTAGACACCTAACCCACTATATTTAAGAGTTATTACCAAATTATGCAGTTCAGGCTAAGCCATAATACCAAGCCCATGGACCAGGTTAACAGTTAGCTTAGCTATGCAACAAATATAAGGGTTAGTGTTTATATATGAAAAGAAATACTAATTTTATTCCAAACCAAATAAATTTGGTAAATTCTAACAGATACTTAAGTTTGCTGATGCAGCAAGGCAGCTAGTAAGTTTCTGTTAATTTATACCTAAGTGGACCAGGGTAAGTTGATGATAAAACTTTAATTAAAATTTAAATTTTTCATTTAAAAACTATGCTAATATTTAAAAAAAAACTAAAAAATAATTTTATTTAAAATGGTAAAAGCACAAATTAACTAGACAAATTATTTAAAAACCATGAAATTAATTATTTAATACTGTGAATTACAATTATTCTACTGTACAATCAAATGATACCCATTTTAAATAATCATTTAAATAATTTTTAACTTCATTCACAGCAATATGACCAGCTAACATAGTACCAGTTAAAATTGTTCCTTGACCTTTAATGTTGAAACAATGATCTACATTCATTATGAAAGGCCCTTCAGGATCTCTATAAGGAATAAATGATTCCATTTTTAATGTTTCAATTAAGTTATTGATACCATATTCACAGTTCTATAAAATAAAGATATTGATATAAAAATTAGTTGGATAAAAACTTTATCCTGAAGAGATTCAGTTATGGATAATGAAACTATAGGTGAATCTTTAAATTTTGTATTTTGAAATGTTTTTTGCAATTTTTTTACCATCTATATAAGATATAGATTATAAAATGAGAAATATTTATAAATAAAATGTATTTTAAAGGTATGATAAATTTTATCTATTAAATTAAGAAACAAATTTTTGAAAAGTTGTTATACATATATATGATAAACTTTTTGAATCAATATTTTACGCTGTTCAATAGGGTAGAGGTCTACTTTGTTTAAAATGACAATACCCTTTTGACAAGTTATTTCTCCTATCACAATACACTCAGCTGTTTGGGTTTGAATACCCTTTTGACAATCAATTACCAAAAGCATCATATCAATAATTTGAGATCCTTAATTATACTAAATTATATGAAGAAAATAAAAATTAAAACCTCCTATTATAGTTTTTATCAAAGATGCGTGCCCTGGACAATCTACAAATGTGAATTGAAGTTTATCATTAGTAGTATACGATTTTAAGTGAGATGGCATATCAACTTGAAGCGAAGAAAATCCTAAATCGATAGTAATACCTCTTTCCTGACTTTGTGTATTCTTATCAAAACACGCAGTGCTAGGTGTAGAGCTAATAATTTTAGCTAAGGAAGTTTTTCCAGAGTCTACATGCCCTAATATTCCTATATTTAAATTAGTAATCTTCGAGGAGTCAGAGTTTAGAAATTCGACCATATGGTTTTTTAGATGCAAATTAATAGTGCAAAGGGTAAAGTGTAGGATTGACAGGTAATTTTTGATTGGACAATTTTATTTTTAAAATGTAGAATGTCATTATCCGATATTTATGATTCGCTTAGTAATCTTTCTGTTTATTGACTGGAAAAATTAATATATGCAATACTCGGGTATTATAATTCTGCCAATTTTATTTGTTTTACCAATAATTTTATTATCTTTAAATTAGCTACGAAACGGGTGAAAGCAGGAAAATTTACCTAATAAGCTCTACTTATAGCTATAGTTTCAAATAAATACTTTCAATATTTATCCGACATGAGGATAAACGTACGGTATCAAATCATTATTTAGCATATAGTTAGCTTACTTTTTTGTTGTTGGCGAAGGTGAGTGTAGAATTATTAAGTAAGGCACATATTAGCGCAATTTAGATTAAAACCTCTAATTTCTCATCCTGGCTCCATGCAAATTGAGATTAATATTTTTTATTTTACAAATAATTTTTTTCCTTTAGATTTACCAAATAGATTTGAGAAATGATTTAGTAATTAATTATTACTCAAAGGTTTGCCTAGGTTTGATAATTTCAAAGATTTGGCTTACTTTACTCTTAAGGCGTGATGTCGTACGGTTTATTCTTTGTGGATCTTAATAAAATATAATTAGTTTTACATTATTAGTTTATTTTATTTTTTTTTAAATATAATATTTGTATTTATATTATTTATATTATTCAAAAGATATTCAAAACATTTTATTTTTATTATATAAAACTTACACGAAATATTTTATCATCTTAGAAAAATATATATTTTATTTTACTTAAAAACTTAAATTTTGTTTATGACAATAATAATATTTATATTATATTTAGGTTTTATATTTTTATATATTATATCTTAAAATGTAAATATACTTGGTTATATAAGGAGATAAATTTATTATATTTGATGAGAATAAATTGTTTTTATCCGCAGAAATTCTTACTTTAAAATTAGTCAGGCACTAAATATAAGCGCTATGATGCTAATTTTGAGAAATTTATTATTTTTTTTATAACATTTTTTCATTACTATGTCTACTAAAAATTAAATCATAAGCATTGATAAAATTGTTGTGCCTTACATTATTTATTTTGCCTTGTATTTGTAAAATATATTATTTATTACTTTTTTTTAATACAACAATTATCATTCGTAAACGCCAGATCCAAGATAGAATGAATAAAAGAATGTTTACGACTAAAGATATATATTTATACCTGGATAAAATTATATACATGATCTTTTTTATTTTGTATTCCATTTTTAATGTAGTCGAGGTATTGATTAAAAAATATTTGATATAAAAGTTTGAATGAATAATCCAAGCGCGTTTGAGTAAAGATAAGAAAATTAAAGATTAAAAATGGCTTATATAGATCGCATAAGAGGGGAAAATAAAGAAAATTAAAAATTTAAGATAAATTTGTTATTTCAATATTTTAAAAAATAACGATTTTTCTTTTTTGAATAGGAATTTTCCTTTTTTTTTGATCGATTCATTTACCTTTTTGATTTAATTGAACTTTATCCTTTTTTGTTTGACATTTTTACTTTTTTGATCAGACTTTTTCTTAAACCCTTGGTACTTTTACTTTTTTGATTAACATTTTTCCTTTCTTTGAACAGTCTTTCTTTTATGATTGGCGCTTTACTTTTTTTCTAATAGAATTTTTCCATATTTGAATGGAAAAATTTGTATATATATAATTACGAAAAAAGAAGATTTTTCTATCAGAGACGGTATCTAGTTACTTTAAATTGGTATTGTCAAAACCTATAATTTGGTCATTTTTTGAAAAAAGTTAGTCATAATTTTAGCCAAATAAATATTAAATAAGTATCGAGATTTCGCTAAGACAGCAAACATGTTTGACCTTTTAGCAAAATATCGAAAAATTTTTTGGGTAAAATTTGGGAAAATTTTTCATATAATAGTATAAAATAATAATATATTCCATTTAAATAGAAAATCCATCAATATTTATCATTTTTTTTTAAAAAAAGAATATAATTATCATTAAAAAATAAAAGTAAAAAAAATCAAAGAATCTTTATTTCTTATAGATGTGGAAATTCGTGAATGTAATTTTGTTTAAAAATAAATAATAACTAATAGTTTAACTGTAAGCTTAAAAAAAATTTAATTTATGAAGTTTAATTATTAATTTTTCTTTTTCTATTTTGTATCGGTTAGAATTCATTAAAAGTATTGATCGATACAGCGAGTAACGGCCTGATGTGTATTAAGGTCTTTCTGCGCGTATTTAATAAATTTATAATTTTAAATTTTCCAAAAATTTTTATTAAATTTTTAAAATAAATAAATAGTATTATTAATATATTAAATTAGTGTTGTTAATACGGCTCGCGGCTAATGCGTTATTTTATCCATTAAAATATTACGCTAGCTTAAACACTTTGCTCAGAGATGGCACAAGGGTTTAGACATCTGTTAGTGAAATCACGAAGATTAGGCAATATTTTTCTGGCTAAAATATTGAGTTAGCAATTTTAAAAAAATCGACTTCAAATCGACCCTTTTTAACAACACTATATAAAAGAATATTAAAAAATAACATATAAAAAAAGAAAAATCATGAATAGATATTTTTAATATTAAATAATAATAAAGTGTGAATATTGATCACATCTCACAATAAATAAACCTAATAAATGTGTTTGTTTGTTTATCATTTTTGCATTGATTTGAGCTTATATAATATTTATAATAAATAAATGTAATACTACAATGATAATAATTTCTGCATAAGATGATTGATAATGATTAGTTTAAGTTAGGGAATATAGAAAGATAAATCATGGTAATTCCAATTATAATTTTTTTTTTGTAACTTAAAAATTAAATATAGATATTAACTCACATCCTACATTAAGATAACTTATTAATCGAAAGAAATATATTAAAGTTGTTGATAATATTCTGATAATTAGTGATAATAACTAGTTTTAAAATTCGATCAATATTATGGATACAGATAGGTTACGTTATGTTCAAATTCTTCATATAACTCACTCAATGTAAGATGAGGTAAAGGTTTATAGAAAAAAAAAATATATATATATTAAAAAAATCACCAACGAAAATATGATGAATTTAGTCAGGTTAATTATAATATATTACGATATAAAAAAAAAATATTAATAAGATCCATTTTTTTAGGGTTGGGTGTTCATTTTAGAGTATCGAATAAAAAATTTTTCTAAAGTAGCGAATAGCAATAGCGACACATTTAAATAACCTCTTCACCAAAAATGACACCTTTCAATAACTATTTATTCGTATAATTTTAAATATATATAATTATCTATCAAAGTGTGCGTTTGGTTATACAGTATATATATAAATATATCATTGTGTTAGTTATTAGGAAAAAAAAAAATAAATTATTAATTATATTTCCAGCATGTTTGGGGAAGCCGAAATGATTTTTAGCAATAAACTTCCAATATATTCCTTTAATTCCTGAATTTTTAAATCCTTTTCCCTCAATTTTGAATCCAGATCCCGTATAACGTGAATTAATTTCTTGAAATAATATTTTGAAGAATGAAAAAAAAGGCAAAAGTGTTAAGAAATGAGGAAAAAAATTTATAATGAAGAAAAGGGTAGAGAAATCAATGGTGGGAGGTGGGGAGGGGGAGGTTGGTCTAATTTTATATGCCAATGATTCCTACATTCAACTCTTATGTTCAATTTCCTTTTTAATTTTAGGGGAGATCAATCTATGGAATCAATATGCTTTAAGAAAATTCTGTCTGTCGGGTTGTACTTACTTTCTTTCTTTCTTTCTTTCTTTCTTATTTAGCAAATTAAAAAAAATGGGAAGAAGCCAATTTCTTTAATAGATAAGAAGTTGATCTTAAAGTCGGTTATAACATTGTTATAGAGCCTAACTCCTTCCATAATATTTGGACCGGTAGTGGGGATGACTTGCAATAAATATATTCTAAAATAATCGGAGCGTAGAAATGATAATGAACCCCCCCCCCCCCCAAAAAAATAAAATAAATTACTCACTTCTTTGGGTAAGATCGTGAGGTATTCTTCTTCCTTGTAAAAAGGATTGTTGCCAGAGTCTGGTTTGATTATATGGCAGTTAGTTTTAGCGAATGGATTCTTGAAAACTGTCATTATTTTTTTTCAAATTATTTTTAATGTTCATGAGATCAAAGGATCAAAGAAATATTTCATTTTTTACTATTCTACCCGATAAACATTAATATCTAACATATTAGTGATGATTCATTCTTTTGTATCTTCATTTATTTTTATATTACTATTACCATCCTCGTGGAAAATATAATCTACCAATATTTTTTTTATCATGATAAGCATTTGTTTTACTAATGCTACAGCTGACTTCAATGTTAGTACACACTTTTAATTAGTGAATCATCAATAATAGCCGTTAGTTACTAAAATAACGTTGATTCTACCTCATTGGCTTGTCATTTCGCTATTTAATTATCATAAAAATGTAAGGTATTTGTGTCTAATACGAGGAATGACATTTGGCTACAACAGCTGACTTTAATGTCCGTACAATTTTAATAAATGAATCATCAGGGATAGACGCTACTACTAAAATGTAGTTGCCATTTATTTTAAAAATAATATTGTTTTTTCCCGTTATTCCTTTCTTATTTTCGTTCGTTCATTCTTATTTTCGTTCGTTCATTCTTTTTGATTTAAAATAAATATATATATATAAATGTTTTTTAAAAAAAATATAAACCATCATAATCTAAATCTAGTCCGACATCGCCGTTTGATAGGGTCTTGATGGGTTGCGTTATCTCTTCGTCACTAATCAAACTGTGAATCTGGAATATATAATGTGAAATTCGACGCAATATATATTTTTTTAAAAAACGTTTGCAAATTGTATTTTGTACCTTATCATTCATTTATTCATTCATTTATTCATTCATTTATTCATTCATACTTTCTTTCTCTTTTCTAAGTTTTATTTCTTTTTTTTTTAAACTTTTTTTCATTTAATTTATTTTACTCGGGGGGTTTCCAAATGTTTGTCGCTATCAGAAGAGGAAGGGAAAGTAAAACTCAAATTTTTCGCATTGCCATTCGACTTAACGCCGCCATCGTCGTTCGAATAACTCGTCAATGAGGTATCGCTCAAATGTTGACCAAAATATTTGGGTTTGAAGCTGATTGAGAAAGATGGAACCAAAATTTTTTCAGATGGCGTTTGAGGTGGCGATGGTGGGCTGAGAGGTACGCGGGGTGAGCTCAAGGGAGGAGTCGAAACCTTTGGGGGTGACGGACCTAAAATACGAGAAGGATTAAACGAATTGACCGACCCCTCAACATAAAAACCAAAACCTTCACAGGGGAGTTTAATGGATTAGGCTACTAAAATATAATAGAGGATCATTTCGTTCAGATTGTAAGTAGATTTTGGATCGGTTTATTTAACTGTCGTGTGCCCATCCGGAAATCAACCTCCCTGTAGGTGCTTTTACAACCTGTTTAGGAAAATGGTGATCATATTCTCTCACAGATTAGTGTTGTTAATTGCTTGGTCTTAAAATTTACGACCCGATTATGTGCTCAAGGATGCTCTGAGCACGAACCCAGGGTACAGACACGGGGTGACACGGGGTTCAGATAAATAAAATGAAAAGTAAGAAAAAACAAATCTCATTCATTAATCTTAAATTAAATCTTACTAATTAATAATTAATAATTAAAGCTTTGTTTATTATTTTATTATACACTAATTTAATCTCATTTTCTTACTTACCAATCAAACATTTTTTAAAATTGGGGTTTTGATTGGAAGTCAGAATAGGCAGGAGAAAAAGACGACGCTTTTTTATAATTTTTTTTAAAAATACTAGGCCCAAATCAGCCTGAATCCCAGGTCTCGGGGTTGGTTTGGTCGGTTTTTTTAGACCCAAACCCCAGGTCTATGTTTTACACAACCAATCGATTAACAACACTCCCCCAGACCACAGGGATCCTAGGCCAATTAGCCACTCCCGGGAGACGTTGCCACTCCCCCCCCCCCAGGTTAAGACAGAAGTTAGGATCCTGACCAAAATATTCTTCTTTGTCCAGAGACGATAAAGGTGAACAATTTTGTCAAATATTTTATTAAAAATTTTCTATTTTTTTTTCACATTTTATAGTAGGGATTAAAATATCTGGGGGAAGATGTGGAGACATAGGCATAATATTGATGTCCGATATGTAAGAGTCCTCAATGGGTATGACACACGGATCGGTAGGGGCTTTATCGAGCGAATTCTCGTAACGGCTATCGCTCGTCTCTTGAGGTTCTATCGTTTCCTGAAACAATTTATAAATAAATTTTTTAAAAAAATACTCATTCTTTTCAAGAACAAAACAAATCTTTAAATCAGACAATAATTTTTTTTTTTTTAAATTTCGGATAATTTTATTTTCAAATAAGAATAAGATACAATATAAAACTATCCCCCCCCCAAATCCTATCTTCAGCCTCATCGTGGCGGGGGAGTGGCAACGTCTTTTGGCAGATTCCCTGTGGTCTGGGGGTCGGGATTCCCGTCTCCTAGACGGGACGTAAAAACCACCTAAAAGGGGTTGATGTCAGGAAGGGCATCCGATTGTAAAAACCTTGCCACAAGACTTCCTGATGATTGAATCAGAGGGGAAACCTGGTCAGCCTGGGGTAAACCTAGAATTCGCCATTAAACGGCGAAGAAGAAGAAGATACAATATAAACTTTCTTTCTTTCTTTCTTTCTTTATTTATTTCTTTCTTTCTTTATATCAAAATGAAATATATATAAGAAAAAAAACAAATATGAATATATTTAAAAAATCATTGTGAAAAAAAAGTACATAAAATTTGATATGAAAAACATTGGAAAGATAACTTTTTTAAAAAAAAGGGAACATGTCACCTCAAGAGAAAAGCGAATGCTTAGGAAATCGGATAGGTCAGATTTCGAGAAATCAGCTGGCGAAGAATTGAATAGAAAAATGGGAAATTCTTTCCTCTTATTCGGGAAGAGTGTACTTATTATTTGATTGGGAAAAAAATCAGGGATGCAAACCGAACCAGAACCGTTAAATAATTTTCTAACCTAACACGCTAAAATGGCAGTGAGAGGTTCGAACCTCATGATTTTATGCTTATAAAAAAAATGTGAAATAGCTATAACTAGTATATTGATAAAAATATTAATTTATATCCGAATTGTTTTTTAAATATTTTTATCGACCATTGATTGATAGATAAGTGCCAGTCGCAATTTTATTATTAGGATTTATACAACATTTTTTTTTGAAACTATTTTTAAGCTTATGATGCATAGAGAAAAATTTGAATTTATTATTTATATATATATTATTTACATTTAGTATTATAAATGGCATATGAAAAATGTTAATATTAGTGATGGCGACACAACTATGAAGGGGCACCGTGGAGCAAACCTTGAGCGTCACATAAAAAGAAAACGCTGATCTAAGAACTCATCACAACAAATAAATAAAATATATAATTAGAATGTAGGTTTGTATACAAAAGTGTACAAACCGGTTTTTATAGGTTTGAACCCGCTATTTTTATTTTTCACTAACCGAGCCCGAAACTATAAATTTTATTGGAAACTAACCTGAACCGATATTCGTTTCGGTTCAGATCCCCGGAAAAAATTAATAATTAAAAATACAATCCGTCAATATTTATCGTATTTTTTAAAAGAATTTATTATATCATTAAAAATAATGAAAGTAAGAATTATAAATTTATTTTCCTTTATATAAAATCTTTCTTTCTTATCCGTATGGAAATTGGCAAATATAATTATTATTTTTTTTATGAAGTTTAATGATTCATTTTAGCCACTTGTATCGGTTAGAATTAAAAGTATCGATAGGCGAGTAAATAGCCTGAAATGTATCTGCTTATTTTGAACTTTAAGAAAAGTTTTCATTATTTTTTTTTATTTTAAGGTCTTAATCAGGCCACGTAATTCGATAATTTATTATTTTAAATTTCCAAATTATAATAAATAATAATATATACATATTATTTATAAGTAAAAAAAAATTAATTTAACGCCTTCCATAATAAAAAATAAACTGAAATAATTTCGTTTGTGATATTTTGTGTGTTTGAGCTCATGTATAAATATTTATAATAAATAAAATATAATATACGATAAATAATTTCTGCATAAGATGTGTTCGATAGATTAGGGAAACATAGATCTAGTTTTATAAGAAGAATATATTTGGGTAAATCCCAATTTTATAGATGATATTAAGTAACTGATTAAAATTGTGACTTATTAATCGAGCGAAATATTTTTTAAATGTCGATGATATGATATGATATATATATTCGTAATAATAACTAGTTATCGAAATTTGACACATTCCACTCTCGCATTCAAAAAAAAAATACAATCAATATCATGGAATTAGAGATCTCCGTTCCTGTCCTACTTGCAAAACTCAAGGGAAGATTTGGGGTTGAATCCACAATTATTCGAGGAAAGATTAGGTTTAAGAGGCTCACATAGAAATAAGAAGAAGAAAAAAAATTATATTTAAAAATTAACCAACGAAAATGAATGACGAAATTTCGTTAGGCTTAAAATATAATTTAATTATATTAATGCAAATTTATACACCTTTTTAATTTATTTTTAAATGTGATGAATGGTTATTACTTTGCTACTTTTTAATAAAAATAATTTCTTTGGTTTATATATTTATCATGTATTGTTAAGCGGCAATATGGCTATTTTTTTCCAACTCTAAAACCAGTTTAAATTTACATTTATCACCGGAAATGGATTCTGGTATGTTTAACAATACCTTTTTATACCTATGAATTGTTGAGAAAATTTTGCCGTTTTATAATTTATATTTAAAAAACAAATTGTGGAAAAAAAATGCGTATAAATTATATTTAAACTCAAAAGTTCACGACAAAATTGTCCGCAGGATTCATAGGTTTAGGTATATTCCGAACATGACGAAATTCCATTTCCGGTGAAATCAGATCCTTTAAAATTTAAAAAAAAAATAACATTGCCGCTAACATATAACCAGTGTATCCATAATGACTTGTTTGTTAAAACATTTCCATATATATCTGTAAAAACAATCTTTCTTATAAAAAATTGTTTAACTTTATTTAAAAATGTTATCAAATATAGTTATTTTTTAACAATAATTATTACCATAGTCAAACAATTTAATAAGAAAGTTATTACAACAAATAAATATAAGGAAATGTTTTACGACAAATTAATCATATACACACGGCCGGGTAATATAATATATTTAAAATAAATAAATATTTTTTTTAAAAAAAATTATTAAAGATCAAAGTTTTTTACATGGGTAAGTTCATTTTTAGAGTATCAAATATAAAACAAAAAATATGACGTTTCACTATAATTAACTCTTCTTAAATTATCTAAATCAAAGTGTGTGTGTGTGTGTTCCCTTACATATATATATATATTATTATGAAATGATAAGTAGAATCGAAAAAAATGTTGCGGGGTTTTAAGAGGAAGATAGAAGAAAAATAAAAATGATATTTAATTCATTTCCAATATATTTGGGGAAGCCGAAATGATTTTAAGCAGTAAATTTCCGATGTATTCCTTCAATTCGTAAATTTTCAAATCCTTCTCCTTCAATTTGGTATCCTGTTCCAATATAACGTGCGTTAATTCCTTGTTTTAAAAATTTTTTTTTTAAAAAAAAACAAATATTTTTTTGAAAGGAAAAAAATAGGTTAAAGATATAAGTGTAAGTAGGAAAAAGATTACAAAAAAACAAACAATGGAAGGTGAGAAGGATTTAATTTTATGTGTCATGGATTTGTAAATCGAATTTCTTATGTTCCGCCTTCCGGTTTTCGTAATTTTTTGGGGCGTAAATAATATGCCACAACCAATGGCATGTAATAATACCTAGACTTGGGGACGCCATTTTTAAAACCCGTATCATTATTAAAAATTTTAAAGGAAAAACCAATTTATTCCTAGGTCTGACGCAAACTATATTAAAGAATTGCCTGGTCATCGAGATAATAAGGAAGCAAAGTTATTAATTTAAATAGTAGTTTTTATACATGAGAATAATTACTTTTATAGGTTACCAAAATGGCGGGTCCAGCTGATTTGCATTCAACGAATCTAATGCATTATTCTACTAGGTATTATTATGTGTCATTGGCCACAACTCACAAATAAAACTACTTTATAGTGTATTATCACCGTATCAAAAATTCTGAGAAACACCGTGAAATGAATATATCGCGAAACGCGATACATTTATCGCGAACCCTTTATAGCGAATGTTTTTGCGCGAGCGGCATTACCGCAAAACTATAAATAGTATATTCATTTATTAAAGTTAAAAAAATACATTATAAAAATTTTACCCACATAAGTTCCTTAAAACATAAACGCAAGTGTTTTTAAGGATCTTTTGGTTAATCATTGTCTATCAAGTAATTATGGGACTTTTATCTGATGTGACAAGAAAAACAAAATCAATCAGCAATTTCTTTCGGGTCTCTCTCCCCCATGGTTGCAAGTATAGAGGGGGCATTTGGGTCCGTATCTTTTTACCCCAATAAATCTTCCTTCCTTCCAAACAAAAATTTTTTTTAAAAAAATGAACTCTAAGCAATTAAAAGTAAAAATTTTAAAAAAAATATTCACGAAATGCTAAGAGTTATCTTCATACTCAATCAAGATTTAAAATTATTTGAAGGGTAAAAAAATTTTTAAACCGATTTGCCCCGTTATTTTAAACCCTCGTTAGATTTAATAACACCTAGTCTGATGATGTATTCATTAATAATACATTTGAAGGCGTCGTTGAATGCAAATAAGCTGGACCCGCCATTTTGGTAACCTATATTTCATACTAAAAACTACCATTTAAATTGATAACTTGCCTCCATATTATCTCGATGATCGGGCAATAGCTTTTATAAAGTTTGCGTCAAGGACATAGGAATAAATTGGCATTTAGTTTAAATTTTTTTTTTATATAAAGATTTTGGCCAAAATGGCGTCCCCAGCTGTATTTTCATTGATGTATGACATTATTTAACGAATGCATCGTCAGATGTCATTGAGCAAACCTAAGACCAATTATTCGATTGAATTTATATTTTACGAATACGAAAAACAAGATTATTTGATTAGAGCAAATCGAATACAAGTAATGCAAATATTCGCTTCGTAATTTAGACATAACATTGCAGCTGGTATTGTTAAACGGCTGCCGGTTTTTAAAAACGGCTAACTCAATATTTTATCCATAATAATATTACGCAACCCTGAAGATTTTACTCGTAAAAATGGCATAAGTTCTATACATCAGTCAGCGAAATCTCGATGTTTAGGCAATATTTTTTAGGCTAAAATATTGAGTTATCCGTTTTTAAAAACCGGCTCAAAACTAACCGTTTAACAACACTAAGTCCAGCAAAGAACAAAAAAAAATAAAATAAATAATATATATTTTATAAATATTTTCTAAATCAAAATTTATCTTTTAATTTTAATATATATATATTTTTATAAAATAATAGATAAAAAAAAATAATCTTTGATTAAATATTTAGAGTTAATTTTTAGTAAATATTATTTTTTAAAAAAATGAAAAAATAGGTGTTCCCTTTCCGGAACACAGAGAACCCAAACATGTATAATCGTTTTCTGAAGGAAGAGAAGAATCGAGAAAATTATGGAAAATGTATCATTTTTAATTTCCAATTTATAATTGTCTTAATTTTTATATTTTTTTAAAATAATAACATCTTTTTAAGAAAAACGCATCACTTAAAAGCTTCCGCTAAATTTATGAGCATTTTTTATTTCTCCAACGCAATGGAGATAAATACAAATCCGATTTTTTTTTTTTGAAAATAAATATTTAAATCATGGACCTGGCAGATGTACAACCATTTACACGGCCGACACTGATAAATAAATTTAGGGCCCCGCCCGTAAAAAAATACGACCCGACCTGCGTAACCCAAGCGTGCACGCCTCTGATATAAATATGACGAGACATGACCAGCTAATAAATATGTCTAATAAAAAGGAGGAGTCAACCAAGAGAACAACTAAATTTAAATACCTTATGCAGTGTTTGCAAGCGGCAATAATGCATTTCAAAATGGCCTAGGGTAAAATTATCGTTTGGCGTTAGCAACCATTTTTAAAAAAACGCAAATAGGTTTGCCTTTTTATTACTTTTAATTTATTCTTCGCTTTGTAATATCATAATACAAAATGTAATATAAATAACTTACTTATAATCCTAAAAAAAAAAGGAATATTTTAGAAATTATAAAGAAATAAGAAAGGCAGACGATAATATAATTTTCAAAATCTTTTAGTACTTATTTAAAATTTTGTATCGACGGATATTAATAAAAAAAAGACAACCTCAATTTAAACAAGGGACGCGTTACGCAAACGCTCAATTTGTGCGCACTATTAAGAAATGTTCCTATTTTCAAAACTCGTAAGGAAGGAAGGAAGGAAGGAAGGAAGGAAGGAAGGAAGGAAGGAAGGAATGAAGGAATGAAGGAAAGGAAGGAAGGAAAGAATAAAAAGAATGAGAATGAAAAGAAAGAAAGACAAAAAATTCATTTTATTATTATGCAGCGATCATTCTTTTAATATATTATTACCGTAATTTAAAAAAGATTAAGAAAAATTGTTATATTTAGATTTATTTATATTATTAGTCAATTTATATTTATTTTGTAGTAGATATATAAAAGATTTTTTATATTAATAGTTGTATTCCTGCCAATTTTGTTTTTTTTAGAAAATTATATTTTTTAGGTCGCTAATATTTAGGAAGGAAAAATTAAAAAGAGAAATAAGGTTAAAAAAAAAATATGTAAAAAGGAAATAAAAATAAAGTGAACCCAATGCGATATAAAACAACAGATTCCCCTTAGTTATCTGCATCGGGCCTAATTTTTAAAGCCCGACTCTAACCCGAAATATTTTAAAGAAATTAATTTTTATAATTACTCAAAATAAATGATATATATTATATTATATGGCCTCTAGTTTCTATAAATGCAATCAAATATTTTTATTTTACATTAAATATTTGAGCATAAAATCGATAAATCTAAGATACATTTTTAAAATTCCAAAGTCCGACCCGATCCGGCCGAAATTTTTTTATAAATATTAACAGAACCCGATTGCCGGGCCGGGTTCGGGCCAGGCCTGCTTTTGCAGATCTCTAATTCTCCCTTTCTCTCTTTTATTTAATGACTACCAATATCCCTTAAAGCTTTTTGGTCAAGCAGATAAATATTGAATGAAGGCTATTTAAAAAAAAATTGAGAGCTAAATTATCATCTCTAGGCCCTCTCGGAAGGTTATAAGGAAACAGATGACATGGGTAGTATAAAAAGTTATATTCAAAATTTTATATAAACCAGTTCTAAGCTCAATTAGCATTATATAAATTTATTATGATTAAAAGAAAAATTAAAAACTCCATTGTGTAAATATAGATTATTTCAAACTAATTTATATATTTATTTTTTTTGGAATATAGGTTAATTTAATTTACATGGTCTTTAAAACTAAATGTTTCAAAATAGCGATATTTTTTGGGCGCGAAATAGTATTGTTGGCTATACTGTCTTTCGCGATAAGGGGTTTCGCTATAAATAATTATTCGCGATATAGTTTTTTAGCGGAATAAATTATTTGTTAATGTGAATTCGCAATAAAAGTTAGAATCCATCAGCCATAATAAACATCATTCGCGATAAATAGTTTCACCGAAATTGACATTGGAACCCATTATTATAATTATACATTTGGATAACCCGGTGAATACGTGAAAGATTAATTTTTGGCAGATAGAACATTCTGTTTGCCAGTCTGCGCTGTCCCTCTTTCTTTCTTTACTTACTCATCTTACTTACTTACTTACCTTCCATATTTTCTAAGAAAGGAGGAAAAAAAACTTCTTTTTTTTATATAAAAGAAGTCGATCTAAAAATCCCCCACCCCCAATCCTACCTCCAGCCTCATGGTGGCGGGGGAATGGCAAAGTCTTTTGGCGGCTAATGGAAATCTAAAAGGTTCCCTGTGGTCTGGGTCTAGAATGGGATTACCGTCTCCTCGATGGGGTATAAAAACCACTTAATGGGGTTGATGTCAGAAAGGGCATCCAATTATAAAAATCTTGCTACAAATTTTACTAACGATAAAATCAGAGGGAAAACTGGCCAACCTGGGTAAAACTGAAGATCGCCATTAAACAGAGAAGAAGAAGCCGATCTTAAAATCGGCTATAAGATTTTATCGAGCCTAATTCTTTCCACAATATTAGGACACCGGAAGTAGGGATAAAGTGCGATCCCTAAAATATATAAAATAAAAAAAAATACTCACCTCTTTGGGTAAGGTCGTGAGGTATTCCTTGTAAAATGGATTGTTACCAGTGTCCGATTTAGTCTTATGGCCATTGGTTTTCACGAATGGATTCTTGAAATCTGTTTTTATTTTTAGAAAAAGGTATTTTTATCCAATAAAATTAATAAAAATATAGGCCTGATGATTCATTCATTCATATGCACCCAAAAGGTATTATTATTAAAAAAAATTTAAACCATCATAATCAAAATCTCGTCTGATATCGCCGTTTGTTAGAGTATTGATAGGTTGCGTTATCTCTTCACTGATCAAGCTTTGAATCTGGAGTATATATTGTGAAAGACATTTTTTTTAAAGTTAATTAATTGTAAGTTGTATTTTAGATCTTTTCATTAATTGATTCATTCATTCTTTTTGTTCTATCTATCTATCTATCTATCTATCTATCTATCTATCTATCTATCTATCTATCTATCTATCAATCTATCTATCTATCTATCTATCTATCTATCTATCTATCTATCTATCTATCTATCTATCTATCTCTCTATCGATCAATCAATCTTTCTAAAATTTATTCCTTTCTCCAATCTTTTTTTTAATTTTAATTTTTACTCGAGGGGTTTTTAAATGCTTGTCCCGATCGGAAGAGGAACGGATATTAAAATTCGAATTTTTCGCGTTGCCATTCAATTTAACGCCGCCATCGTTTGGGTATCTAGTCAATGCGGAATCGCTCAAATTAGGAGGGAGAGAATGCTTTTTTTGCGAAGAATGTTCGCTATAATTTTTGGGCTTGAGCCCAAGCGAGAACGAAGGAATCGAATATTTTTTAGATGGCATTTGAGGTGGTGATTGTCGGGTGAGCGATAGCCGGGGTGAACTCAAGGGCGGAGTGGAAACCTTTGGGGGTGACGGACCTAAAAGAAGAGAAGGATTAAACGAATTGGCCGGCCTCATAACATGAAAATCTAAACATCCACACATAAGGGGATTTTGGAGGGGTTTTTTCGTCAAACCCCCTTAAGGTGACCATTACACCGTGTCGGGGAAAGCGGTGATCATATTTTATCCCAGATCGAAGGGAACCATATGAACCTTCATTAGCCTGTCGGAGACGACGTTATTACTCCCCACCACGTCGAAGCAGAAGTTAGTATTCTGACCAAAATGTTCCCCTAGAAGAACATTTTTTTTTCAGAAATTCTCATTCAAAATTTGTTTTTTTTAACCTTTAATGGTAGGGATTATAATATCTTGGGGAAGATGAGGAGGCATATGCATAATATTGATGCCCGATTTGTCAGCGTCTCTAACGGGGGAGACGTACGAATTGGTAGCGACTTTGTCGAACGAATTATCGTAACGGCGATTGTTTGGCTCTTGATGTTCTTCCGTTTCCTGGAACTATTTTTTATTGGGAGGAGAGGGGGTCAAAAAATGCAAACAATTCGAAACGAAAAAAAGGATTACAAAAGTGGTTACGTCGTTGATCTCCGGAACAGGGGGAAGGTCGGAAAAGCCGATAGAAACGGAGGAGAGGGAACCGAAGTCGGAAGAGTTTATCGACACGATCTCCGAGTTCGCTTCTTGCGTGGTATTCGAGGATTTGACGTGGCTGCCACGTTTGTGGGACGAGGAAAAGAAGGGTTGTTTGTTATTGAGGGAAATCTCGCTAGCGGAAAGTTCGTTCTTCAGTTTCGCGCCTATATAATATTTATATCATATGATAATTTCCAATTTTTTTTTTCGGTTTCCTATCTATATAAATATGCTGGTCGCCCTAACTTCAGCTACGATCTTTCCGGGCCGATATTCGTGAATTAATGTTATTTCTAAGGTTTAGCAACAGCCATTTTTATTTATTGGATAATATATCCTGAATTTGGCAGTGCGGCTAAACTAGGGGAGGAATAAATTATTATTTATCATCTTTCTCTACACTATTTACATTTGTTTTTTGCTTAACCCAAACTCAACTAACCCCCCCCCCCCACTTCTCTCCATCTCTCATTTTTTTTATTGCGATTTGTTAATTTTTACCCATCGATTTGGCCAAATTTTTTATGGAGGAACCTTTGTGCATCACCTTGGACATCGTCAAATCCATCATGCTCTGAGACGTGGCAGTTTTGTGGATGAAGCATATCTGAACTTGCAATTCTCCCCTGAGTCCGTCTATCTCTTGCTTCCCGGACTTGGATTTCAGATGAAACCATCTTTGTCATGTTTATTTTTATTTTTCATATTTAAATTTATTATTTATTAACGAGCCGTTTAACAACACTTAATTTCGAGTTATTGAATCTAATAATAAAGACCAAGCCAATAATTGATAATAATAAGGGGAAAACATCAATTATTAAATAATTATCTTTGGAAAATATTGGTCAACTTATATCTATTTCAAAATTTAGAATTAATATTTCGAATATATACCATGAGACTTTTATTGCCTATTATTCGATTTACTATTTTTTTTTTCTAATAATATCTCAATAACATAAATATTAAAAAATATAAAAATGTATATTTAAAAAAAGATTTGCGTTGGAGATATACAAGAGTAGGTCCGGCCCGTTAACCTACCCAAGGGGGCTTCGGTCGGGCCCGTTTAAAAATGATTCGGACCAGGAATGGTGGGGATTTAAATTTTGATATAAAATTGATATTTTAAAATATTTTAGCGAGAAACAAACCAATATTTTGTTTTATTTGTTCGTAAGAATGGATTAAAAACTCGATTATGTTTCATATATAAATTTGGGCTGGCCCAATCGAACAATTTTGGGACAGATCGGGCTGGACTGGTTTGAAAAATTAAGCCTGGCGCATATCACTAATTCGTATTGTTATATGGAGGCCCCATGGATATATATATATATATATCTAAGTAAATTGCTTTGGTAAATGTCCATCGTAATAGCTTGTTTTAGGTAGGAGGCTTCGTTTCGATTATCACTTTATATTACTTAATTTTCTACCAAATAATGTGATAAATTTTAAGAATTTCAGACCAAAAACACCGGGAGTATTGGTGGCAAATTGGAGAAATTATTACATTCGCAATGTCCATGTATTTACTGTGCTGAATCAATGCATGTAGAATCCCAAGCAACTGGAAAACCAGGAGACCAAGGTATTAAGCTGATACCATCGATCTTTAGATTTTTGCCTGATAATAAGTGATTTGGCTCAAGGGTATTTATTTGGGATATATTAGCCCTTTTTCATTCAAAATTGATTTTATTCCTATTGCCAGGATAAGTTTGGTCTAAAAAAGGTCCTTATTGCAGTGCCATCATCAATTGGAAAATTAAGAGAAGTTGGTCCTCAATGGGAGTACATTAGAATAGGATGGACATAAGATTATTAATGATGTCTGTACTGGTTGATTGAAGTCTCACCAACAATGAAAATACTATCAAAATACCAAATATTTATTTAATAAACAGTTTAAATCTTGAATAGAATCTATTACTTGAACATTTAAGCAAATTATGGTGGACTTAATTGGTCATCTTGTTACTATCACAAAGAAAGTAAAATTTTATCAAAGAAATATCAAATAAATTGGCTCAAAGTAACTATAATAATAAAATTAATATCTGGATAATTATTGTGTATATCTATATTCTAACTTGAAAAGACATTGATTTGAGTCTACTTAGACCCACCCCCATGGGCAAAATTCGGTTTCTTCTGGTGAAGGCTATATTTGGTGCCTTCTCATAAATGATTAAAGGGCCACTTAATCATCTCATTTAAAATATGGATAACAGTAATGTTTGATTTTGACTGTTATATATTTTAAAATCTTTTAAACCCATTTTTTTAAGCTACTATTTCTTTTAAAACAATTTAATTTTTTTACATTACAATAACAAATAAATTGAATTTTGATTTCTTTTATTCATTTTAAATAATTTTGTATAATATATAAAATATTATATATATAATGTGTATATAATCATAAAATAACCAATAACAATGAAAATATCAAATTGGATACTTTTTATTTTTGAAAATATCAGCCTGATCTTATTTTATTTTTTTTAAACAGCAAATTGACTTCAATTTAATCTGTTAGTTAATACCAAAATAGCCCTAAAATCATATTCTAAATATCATCATTGTACATTAATTCATTAATATTATAGCTTTTTTGAAATCCTTTAAAAATTAATAAGTATTTACCCAGTTTTTGTCTCTTCAAAATTTTCAAAATCACTCAAAGGAATCAAAACTTGACCAATAAAATCATCTGTTCCAAATTTTTGATGATGATACAAATTGAATACAATATTTGATCTCTTAGTAGGAATTTTACTTAAAATATTCATATAAGATATAGATAATATAATTTTTACAAATCACAGGATTCATTCCATTCAGGGACATTAGTATTTTCTATAACTGATGTTTTGTATTTTTCGGTCCCTAGACCGATAGTAACGTAAGGATCATTTATACCTATAATTAATTTGAATAGTTTTATTCAACTTTATAGATACCATTTTTCCCTTTAATTTTCTTAATATTTGCAGCAAGAACTAACAGAATTTTTTAATATTTATCAAATAAAAAATAAAATAATACCAACGACTTGAACGTAGTTTGGGGTTAACATCCTAGTTTTACATCTTTTTCTCAAACATCTGGATTTAAAGAAATTTTAATGAAGGGATGATTTGATAATACAATGCGTAAATTTTATTAACATAAGTGGTAAGTCCTAAACATTGCACAATTTCCAGTGAATAATGAGAGTGAGGCGTTATAAGAATTATCTTGGAGAGAATTTTTTTATAATTTCAATTTTCATGTATTAGTTTAGATAATTACTATCTGTATCAATTGATTTAAGCATGTATCATAAATGTAAAGGGAAAATCCCCTTTCCACATAAATGCTAAACATTTATATAAGAATAGTTTTTTAACAAATATTTTTTTATTGCAACGGTTTAAAAAAGTTACACCTTCAGTAAAGTTTTAGGAGGAAATATACTCAATAGCCTCCCCCTTCCCCCATTAAGAAAATTCTGCCTACAACACTCATAGGAAGTATTTAAAATAATAAAAAGATTTTTATATCTCTCTCACTTTATAAAATATATTGTTTACTAATAACCCAAAATTATATCTTGTTATTATTTAATAAAGATATGGATATACACTTATAAAATATTAGGATTATACATCACATGAATACAAGGAATCTTATGAAAATGATTTTAATCTATCTCCAACCCTAGAGATTATATAATTTTTGATTCAAAAGTGTCAAAGCGTTTGCGCCTACAATAGTTTTAAATCTTTTACGAATTATGATAATAAAATTATAGATAATTAATATATGATTTAAGTTGAAGCCTTTTATATGCTAAGTGTTGGCAGAAAACTCATTTTTTTGCATTTATGCAATATTTTTAATTTGTTGATGATTTTTTATATTTTCTTAAATTCGATTTGTAATATATATTCATACAAATCCTTTACCTATCATAAACTTCTATACTTTATATTTTATTCTTTCTTTATTAATTTGTAAATAATTGGGCTATAATAATTAAAAAGTAATAAATAAATCTCTCGATTTTCAATTAATCTATATTATTTGACTATATAAGAATATGAAAGGGGCTTAAAACCTCCGCTTTAATCAGATCATCACATTTGATAATGTTTAACATTTTTAAGCAATATTTTAAAATGACGTTTTTTTTTAATTTATGAATGTTGCACATCACCGATTTGCTTTTAATATAGAAATTTACTAAAATTTCAAAAAAGCAATCTAAAATAAATTCTCAATCTAATTCGACAAGTTGCTTAGCATTTTTTTTTATTTAAAACATAGAGAGACAATTTGTAAAATTGTCTATTTTTATGTTTCTTAATGTATAATTAATGATTAATAATTAACAATAAAATACATATTTGGGATTTGGGAAGCAAATTTATAACTTATTTTTAACAAAACAAGGGGAAACAGAGAAAAAATGATTACATAGATATACCCAGAGTTTTACTATGGGGGTGGTGGGGGCACTATCAGTGGGGTTTTCCACCTTAATTTTTATTGGAGGTCTTTTGGCCCACCTATTTATGTTATATTTTTGTGCTCTTTTTCTTATTTTTTATAAAAATGCAATTTTCTTAAAATTTTAAACTATGGTCGTTATTTTAAAAAATTAATCATTTTACTCAATTTTCAAACATATTTATATTAATAATGATATATTGTATACAACTTTGGAGATAGGGTAGTAGGAGGGTGTGTGGGGGAGGGGTTAGCCTAATATGATATTTACAAAAACGGGCAAATATTTGAATGGAGGGATTTCTTATTCCCTTCCCTTTCCTAGGATACATTTATGAGTGATTTGGATTATAAAATATATTTGGTGCAATTTATGTTTTAAAAAAAATTAACAATAGAGACGGAAATATAAAATTGCCTGTTAAACTTGTTTAATGCAAATAAAATAGTTCTGAAAGTTTTGGAGACATTTATATTTTATCCAAATTAAATTTTGATTTTTAAAAAAGAATTATAACTAAAATTGATGGTCAAATACGAAAGATTTATTTTTAAAATTAGCCATAAATAATCGGCAAAAATTTTAGCTAGAATATTACTTAAACCTCGAGATCTCGCTAATAGATGTTCAAAATTTTGGGCCAGAATAAAATATTCAGGCTTGCGTAATAATTTTCTGGATAGTAGTTAGCAGTTTAAATCGACTCAAAATATTATGAATAGTTTTGTTTTTTTTAAATATTATGAATAGCATCTAAATGTTACTAATAAATTTTTAAATACTATTTTTAATTTATTTTGAATAAATTTCGGATAATTTATAAATAATTATTTTAAAATTTTAAAATTAAATTTCGAATTTTTTCAAATACAAAAAATTTTGAATAATTTTATAGGATTATAAAAAAAAAGTTCTATATTCGACGAATAATTTTTCATTTCATAAGAATGTTAAATTTTTTTATTTTAATTTAATTTTTTTTTTAATGGAAAACATTTTCCTCTTTGTAAGGATTTAAAATATATTATAAATTTTCATAATTTAATTATGGGTTTTATCAAAATTATCAAATTTATATGTATATCTTATTTTCGCATTTTGGTATTTTATAATGATAAAGGGGGTAAACATAATAAAAAATTTTGTTGAGCCCTGCATAAAATTTTATAATCATATGTTAGCCCCTCTAAGAATTTCTCTTTTTTCTATTTTTTTTAAGATATATTGCGTATCCCTTTATGTCATATTATTTATTTAAAATTATTTCGTTTAATATTTATCATATTTATAAATAGTCGCCTGATTTTATATATCACGTGTAGAACTCATGATTTCTTTGTCCCAAAAAAGTATAAAAGGAACGAGATTTTAATTCTGACTCTTTTTTTTTGAAGTTATATATTTAGTTGGCGAATAAAATTTGGAGTAGAAAGAAAGAAAGAAAGAAACAAAGAAACAAAGAAAGAAAGAAAGAAAGAAAGAAAGAAAGAAAGAAAGAAAGAAAGAAAGAAAGAAAGAAAGAAAGAAAGAAAGAAAGAAAGAAAGAAAGAAAGAAAGAAAGAAAGAAAGAAAGAAAGAAAGAAAGAAAGAAAGAAAGAAAGAAAGAAATTGTAGTTTTAGAGTTGGGTTGGTGTGCTACTGGTAATTTTATAGTATATAATTTTCACACCTTTTTATAAAATTCTTTTGCAAATAAGAAAATAACTGCCCACGGCTGAAAAATAGGATTTACAAGTTAAGTAAAGAATATCTCATTATCTCACAATTAGGGCGTTAAAAAAACCAAATAAATATGGTAATTATTTGAGACTTTGATGATAATATCAAAAATAGGAAGGATGTTATAATTAAGACATATTAATCTAAATCGTAATGCAATCATTGATATAGCAATAAATCGAAAAATTGTTTTTAATTACCAAGAACATTCATTATATCCATTTAAATGAGATGATAATCTTTTTTATTATCATCAAAATTATATATAATATTTTTTAAGATTAATCTTTATAAAAAAAAAATAAGGTTTTATTTTATAACAGCATTTTAAAAATTTTTTTTAGGAGAAGTGCGTAATTAGAATTATAAAATATACACAATAAACATTATGAAGTACATTATAATGATAACTTTAAAATAAATTTTAGTATACAATATTTACAAAGAAATGAGAGTCTTTAATATTATTCGTTCGAAAATATTTTGAAAACATTTATAAAAATTCTTTTAAAAAAAAATAAATAATAAGAATAAGAAAAATATTCCATTAAAGACTAAATCATTGATTTTTAGAAAAATCTTGGCCGCGCGAACGACACCTTGAGAGTATACTTGTCGGCTAATATAGCATTATGTAATAGAGAAAGAGCTTCTACGCCGGCTTCTCTTGATTCCAGCTCTACTAGAGCCATTTTCTTGCTTCCCGGATCTTCGGAATTGCATGGTAAGAACCAAAATCGATGCATAGGATAACCAGCTTTTTCAAAAATCGGCCTAACGTCACATTCCCCGGCCCAATCAGGTATGTTGGAAACGTGGAGTGTAGCGGAAGGCGGATAAATATTTCTACAATTTTTGGAGCCCGCATTTCTGAATCGATGATAAGGACTATCAGTAAAGTCTTCCGTCAAACGAATCGTTTTACTTTTGGCTTTCGAGTCCGTAATTAAGTCGGTGGAGTTGGGAATGTTGTTGGATTTTAGGTTAGAAAGATTAGAATTGTATTTATTATGGTGATGGTTGGGTATGACAGAGTTTGGGTTTAGAGCAGTAGTTAAGCATCGTCGCAGAACCTCTATACTCTCTTCTTCCTCCATATCTATATCTTCAGCACTTTCATAAGCTTGTGACATGACTTGTGATAAGTTTTTAAAATGAATGAATTATATTATAATAAATTTTTTTTTAAAATGAATTTATATTTAGAGATAACTAATATAGGCATTTTTTTTAAAAAAAACAAACATATTTAAGCTCTTTCGAGAGTGTGTATAATTTTGTAATACGGAGTAAAATTACAATCTTACAAAAAGGAAGATCTAATGAAAATCGGACAGAACAGAAAAGATTTAATGATTGCATATCCACTTCCTAATTTCGTAATAAAAATTGATTTGGACATTTAGTCTTAAGTCATTTTTGATTATATAAAAAGTCATAAAGTGGCAAAAAGGAATCAGAGGAGAAAGTAGCTTACCCGGGTAAACCTGGAAAACTACCAATATACAAATAAACGATAAAGATTATATATAAACAAGATGATCATTTAATTGGTGTATAAGAGGGTCATATACATGAACCGATAACCAAGGACTAGGGTTTAATACGAGGTTTGTTTTGGTAAGATTGAAAAAGGCTGGAAATATATGGGCATAATAATTAATAATAATAATACTTTTAATATTAATACTTAATTTTCCAATATAATTCCGAGTTTTGTATAATCATATGGGAAAGTATAGCTACTATGAAATGGTGTGTTAAGTGTCATTAACCAACAAATATGTTTTAGGTTAAAAAAAACAATGATAGAAGAACAAAATATTAACGTTCAGAGTATTATAAACATATATTCCTTTCTATTATAATTCTGACAAAATTTAAACATATGAATATTTTTAAATCGGAATTGTATTTTCAAATTATATTTTATCAATTAATATGATTATTTTTAAAACAGAATCTATCTAGTGTTTATTAGCCGGGACAAGTTAATTGACCCTACTCGTTTGCGGGAGAAAATTTTTACTATTTGTTGTAATTGTTAAACCAAATTACAAAGCCGAAGGATATTCAAATCTACTCAAGAAAAAAGAATTTCGAATGCAAATGATTTAAAGAAAGAGGAATAAAAAAGAATGATTATTCAAATTAAAGAAAGTTCAAGATTTTTTCAGTTTGTTTGTAAAACATTATGTAAATGAAATATAGAAAAGTATATATATATTCGAGGATATTTGTATAAACACAGATCATGATTTTACGAACTTAATTATAATTTTTAATTTTAATTTTTTATTATTTTAATTTTTTTTTTAATTAATTTAGTTTGATTATATTTTTAACTTATTATTTAATAAAGAGTTAGTATCATTTTAGTTCTAACTTTTCTGATTTGACGAATATTATAGAAAAATATATATAATCGAGGATATTAGTCTGATTTAGTATCATTTTAGTTCTAACGAGGATATTAGTCTGATTTAGTATCATGTTATTTTAACCTTTCTTATTTGACAGCGATTTTAATCTCTCAATCCTTTCAAAACTTTCAAAATGTTACACTATTATCCACTAAATAATTCGGGCCGTTTAATTCGCCCTGGCTAATTTATAACACTAAATCCGTTCTGAATTTAAACTTACGGCTTTTGAGAATTAAATTGATGAATTTATATTATACAAATCACACTTTTAACTTACTTTCTTGTCTCCAAAATATTCTAAAACCTTCATGCTTTGACTTACTCGAGAACGATTTGTTTTTTAGTAATATTATATGGTTCCATCTTAGATACAGTTTTAAAATTCAATTAACTTTTATCTCTCGTTAGGATTCCACCGGTATATGTATCCGTTCCACGTGAAAGACTACGAGATAACTCAGCAGCTGTAGAAGGCCCTTCCACTTGAACAAATATAGATGGGGTTATACGCATGACCCTGCCAAAAGCAGTCACTTTATCGAGATGTCTTAGAGCCGTTTGAGCAGCTGCCCCTGACCTCATCTGGACTAGTGCTGCATCACGTTTGTTGAAGAGTACCTTGACCCTTTGGACATCGCCGAAGGCTCCAAAAAGGTTAAATAATCTTCTTGGAATGGTCAGTTCAGGTCCAAGATTACTTACTAGTAAAACGGGACTGCCTGTTTCGTATTCCTCGTTATTATGGGGCGAGCTTGTATGATACCGAGGTTCAGAAGCAAGCATTGGCTTTAAGCAGCTATCATCAAGTTTTGGAGTATAGGAACTATGCTGTTGGTGATAAAGATTTTCATCTTGGTAATATTCATCTACATAAGGTGGAAATGATGGATAATAGTTGCTAAGAGTATCGAGATAATGGACGGTATCATTGACTTTTACTGTAGTAACTGGCCTAATAGTAGTACCCCCACATCGCAAGTTCTTATTCACTGTGCCAGGGTTTACATAATCGTCATGATTATAACGTTTCCCATTGTCCCCGGAAGATTGATCAGCAGCCATTTTGGTGTCAAATTTAGGCCTATTTGAAAATTCGGACATTTCCGGCTGTCGGAAAGGATTGAATCGAGAAACATTTTCAAATTTAGTTGATCTATAATGACATTGCTTGCTATTTTCTCCTATATTAAAATCGGCATAATCTTCCTCGGCTTCTTCATTAGCCAATGCCCTATCAATATTTTCTCCCATTTCAAAGTTGTACACTTCCCTTACACGATGATTCCCAGTATATTTTTTATTCATATTTTGATTTATAGGTTTTTTCGCTTTCCTATCGAGACTTCCGGTCACTATAACCTTGGCTTGAGATTTGTCAATCATTATATTTGCTGTTCTTCCATCTTTATCCATTTCATTTAAAGTTATTTCAGGTTTGGTAGTTATGTCATCTATTTCCTCAAATTCTTCGCCTGCAGAACTCCCTCCTACCGATTTAGAATAAGTAGTTATGAAAGAGGAATCAGAGTCAGATTGAGAGTTATATGGATCTATCTTTAGTTGTCAATTATAAAAACATTAAACAAAATTAAAAGTATTCATTAGTAGTGTCAATATTTTAGAAACATAACTAAAAATAATTTTAATAAATATTTTATATCTTGAATTGAATAATATTCTCTGGATTTTAAAAATTTAGCAAATTAGAGATATTTATTTTATTAAATTTTTTTAAAATGGAATATAAGGTAGATCAGTGATATCGAAATCGTTTGCTATTAGATATTTTAATACCATTAATGTAAAAAATATCTAAAATATCTAAAATATCTAAAACATTTAAAAATAAATATATATTATCGATACATAATGTAAAAATATAAAGCTGTATTTAATTCTTTTAATTTTATACATTTTACCTGCTGATTTTTTTTTTGAGAAGCATAAAAAAATTCAAGCCTTTTTTAATAATTTTGCAACAATATTTAATAAAAATTTTAATTTAAAATAATATTAAATTTTGATCTAGCTCAGGCGAAATCAAACTTTTTAACTTATATTTTCTATTTTGCGCCAATATGGGTTATCGAGAGTTGGTTAATGAGAATTCAGCCTAATATTTATAATATTTTAAAAACTTTACTTTTTTTATGAAATACCGTATATTATTAGTGTGGGAGATGCGTGTGTTAGATAAAGTAACATTTTATAAAAGTTACTTCCAGGCAAAATTAATAGGTACATTTAAGAGGATTTGTTATTTAATTTTAAGGTTGGATTATAGGCGAGCCAGGCTTGCTAAGGGATAATTCTTACCCCCCCCCCCCCTTATAATTTTTGCTAAAGGTTTTTAGATCTACTCATTGTAGAGGCCTTAGCTATGTATATTTTTATAAAAATAATTTAGGGGTTTTTCTATAAACATATATTTGAAAGGAGGGGAGTGTGGTTTATTAGCATAAAGTGCCATTTAAGGAAAAGGCAAATTTCTAAAGGGGGGGATCCACCCTTATCTACTCATGGAAATTTATATATTGCAGTACCTTTAAAACTGCATAACCATTATAAACAGGGCATCCATCCAGTGAACCTCTAGCAGATCTAGCCCAATCGCATACTGTGCTAGTTTTGTCCGCATCTTCCAAAGCGCCATAATGAACGGTGGCAAACCGGAAACGTTTCTCGCTACTAGAAACTCCAGCACTGGTGTCATAATGAGTCACTATACGGCTCACACGACCGAATTCACCGAATACGCGTTTCAATGTATCGGGGCTGACTGGGTAGTAATAACCCCCATCTGTTAATCCTTTATCGTGACATATGCCACCACGTTTACACATGGTGACTTTTAAAACGGCTTCAGTCCATCGCCTTCTCCTTTTATCGTTGTCATAATAATGAATGTTGGTGTCATCTATCGTCATTATGGCTTCTTTCCTCATTTCATTCATTAAGATTGTATTTTCCATGGATTGCATTCCATTTCTTTCGAATCTTTTGTTTAGAATGTTCTCCGTCTTATATCTTCTATTGTATATCATATCATTACTGGTATGGCCCCCGCAATAATTAGTAGATAGTTGTTGACCAGGAATAGCGTTCATATAGTCAGACATAGTTCTGGGCTTATCCTCTAAAATAACATGACTCGCCGGATGCTTTGGATACGTTAGTTCATCGGGATTGGCTAGACTTGGTCTAATTTGGCGGTGAGTGGAATATTGGGCAGCCAATTTTCTACCTCGCATATTTACGTCAAAACGTGATAGATGATTGATTAAGGTCTTAGATGCCTCTATGCTCTCCATTTCAATAAGGGCTTGTTTTTTGCCTGATAATTATATTTATTTTGGGACTAAACTATATGGATAAGACAATGGCATAATAATACCTACGTAATACTCTGCTCACGATTCATTTATTTATTAAAATAAATCAGCTGACCAAAAAAGCCTTTTACGCTTTCGCACGAATATCTTTATTTATATCGGAAAGCAAAATGACGCATCGCGTGCTTATTTGTAATTATTTGCATTCAAATAGATGAATCGTCAATCTTGGTAGTATTACCTTGAATTCATAGTGGCGCGATTGCGATCGCGATTTAACAGCTGATTGATTTTTAAAATCTGTTTATGAGATCAAATATTCTTTATTAAAATCATTATTTCTTAGATTATTATTAAAATTTGAATTAAAGATAAAATTAATATTAATAAATAAAAATTGATCTCATAAACAGATTTTAAAAATCAATCAGCTGTTAAATCGCGATCGCAATCGCGCCACTATGAATTCAAGGTTATATGTAATTGGAGGTAATGTTGTTAAAACGGTTCGATTTGAGCTAATTTTCTTAAACAGCCCGATCAAGATTTTAGCTAAAATAACATGATGCAAGCCAGGAGATTTCGATCATAGAATGTTAAAAATTTTGGATTTCTATTTAACAAATTTTGAGGCTTATACAATATTATTTCGAATAAATTCTTAACGAGCCGTTCATAACAACACTAATCTGAGGAAACACGAATAGCATTGTTTAACAATAAAATTCTCGCATAGTAGTATTGAATGTTAGTTATTACAATCTAATCGAATATAAAAATATTAAATATTTAAAGTTTATGTCTTAGATTTATACATTAACCACGTAAATATTATTTATAAATTGCTAGTAGTTTTTTTATTCCCTCCACCAAAACATGAGGTAAACATAAAAACTTTACTTAAAATATATAAACTTTCTAAATTTAGAGTAGCTTTAATTATAAATATAAAATAAGATATTTTTTATTCTATGTATTTTGTTTTTATTTGAAATAATCACGTGACAAAAAGTGGAAGCCATTTTGATTATAAAAAAAATGTATAGGGACATTTAGAAAGAAATATTTATTATATTACTTTAATATGAAATTTTAATAACCTTTCAAAATCAAAACATTGCTAACGCGTCCAAAGGGTAGGGCTAAAAAAATGAGATCCGAATCGCAAGTAGAATCAGCCACATTCCTTAAATGAATAACTCTCGAGGGTTCGGCAATATGCCTATTTCCTCTCTTACCTTGATCAGCTTCTTCTAGAATTTTAGAATTACAAGAGGGCTCCATATCTAATTCAGCCCTATCGTTGACTATGTGACGATCGTCAATACTGCTTACAACATCTTGATGGGTAGGAAGGAAGTACACATTTTCGCTGTCATTTTTAAAAATAGGATATTCGTCCTTATTTATTAGACTAATTTCATTATGGCTGTTATTTTCATTAACCATCACAATACTCGAATCTTTTAAAACGAGACTGTCGGCTCTGCTGTATACTCCATCTAGTAGGTCCGTTTCTGGAACAGGAATCTCAGCTTTATTATTTTGTTGGCATTGACTTAATTTAAATATCGTGGCTTGCTTTTTAGCCGAAAACGGGCACTTGTACCATTTGATATCTTCCTCATCCTCGTTTAAATGTTTATTTTCTATGTTTACGTAATCGTATCTTTCATCATTAATTTTGGCGGCGCCTAATTTATCGGGGATCGCATTTTGATCTACTTCGCCATTCGATATCTTATCACTTCCAACAGAAATTTTCCCGCTAGGTTGCTCTTCCTTGGATGGTATAGGTAATGTTTTTTCCGAAATATCTTTTACTTCCAAATCCAACATCTTTTGATAAAAATTGAAGCGAATTCCTTTATATATTATATAGTTTACTTAGGAATCATTAATTATTTTGTTCCATTAAAGTGATATAGTGAAAGTATGTATAAATTTATCCTATGTTCGAAATATATGAAACAAGGAAAAAATGAACTATGAAACTCTCAAAGAAAATTTATTTTTTGTTTGGAAAGATGAATTATTTAAGAATGCGTTTATTGCATTTCAATACATTTTATTCATATTGTTCGTAACGACAATATTGCTGACGTATAATCCAAAAAAAAACAGCTTCTTAGATTTGCAATTCTGCGCCATCAAAATTATTAATATTTATATTACAATATATATAAGTGATTATAAGCTATAGTTTTTAGAATTCCAAGGGGAAATTTGATAGTTAAGCGGTAGTATATTTTTTGCTTTTCTAATATAATAATTCACTTCAGTCAGTGTAAGAGTGGACTCATGTATTTTCTTTCTTTAAAATAAACAATAGAATGTTACTTTATGTCGCTAATGACAAATATATTGTGTATTTTGCCTTTAGTTTTCTTTAAGATATAAGTTGTATCTAAAATTATGATGGTCCTAGTTACTTAAAAAAATATTTTTTAATTTTATTATGAACATCCATTTTAATTTTTAAACTCAGACGCGTCAATTATTATAGTCTTTCTTTTTAGGTTGAGCCAATTTTATTATTTTTTATAGTCAGTTAAAAATTTGTCTTGAATTTTTTGTCTCAGTCTAGTGTTTTTTTTTTATAAATTCAATTTTTAAGGAGGTATAAATATATTAATTTAGCTCCTCAATGTCATAGCAAATAATTTTTTATCGGTATGAGTCTGCAGATTAAGCCCAAAGGAAGTGGAATTTTAGTAACTGACCAACAATGGTCATATGAGATATAATAAAAATACAGCTCATCTTTTGAGCCTTTAATAAGACTAATCATAAGAAAACTATTATAGAATACTCTAATTTAGTCTCCAAATTTTATTTTTTGCCGATTTTTTAGCAATAGGCCAACAATGGTCATATGAGAAATTATAAAAATATCCCATTGAGCCTTAAATCTGATTAAATATATGAAAACTATTATAAAAACTCTCATTTCCCAAAAATTAATTTCTCGAGTTAGCCTATTCGTTGTGAGATTAAATATTTTGGTTATTTCAATCAAAACAAAATCACTTAAATGGTTGTTTATATTTATTGAATATATAAGTTGAATTATTAGGATAAATGAGAAAAAAAAGGATTATTAATTCTTAATTTTACACTAATATTATAAAGTAATAGAGAGATAAATAATTATACAAAATGACCTTTCTTAAATGCCATAATATAACTATTAAAATATAACTAAAAAAATTATGATTTTTTAATAGTTAATAAATTATTTTAATATAAAATGTAGGTTTTGAAAGGACAGAAGTAAAACCTGTTATTCAAATTTCCCCAAGTTTTCGCAATTGAAATTGAATTGTTATATTTTCAAGAGTTACGCCTTATTTATAGTAAAGCCCTATACACTCAAGCGTTGCGAAATTTTTTGCTGCGTAATTTGCAAAGGCAAGCAAATAATAGATATAATTTATATAGACGGAACAAGATGATGAACTCGCGACAGCTGTTGACGTATATATCAAAAAGTTATATAGCTGTGAATAATCAGCTGTGATTTCATAGGGCTTCTTACTACAAATACAGTCTGCATTTTTATTTCTATAAAACGCTTCTTAGTTTAAATTCGTGTGGCATAAAATATAACAAAATAGATTATCAATTTATTTTTACATCAAGGATAAATAAATTTCCTCTTTTTTTTATCATTTAAAGTGAACAATTATGTTATAATGAACTAATTCTCTGAGGTTCAATTTTCCAATAGTACGGGGGTGACAACTCTTTTCTAGCTGATAGCTGTAGGTTTTAAGTGTCACTCATTCATAAGTGAGGTAATAGATTGCTAAAATGAAAATTTTTAGTACACATTTCTTTGAAACTAATTAAATATATAATTTGTTACAAAGATTATTATTTAATAGCAATATGCGCGTAAGGAAAAAAAAATAAATAATTTATCAACCCCAGCGTTTCGATTAACATAGTTTATTATTCAAGGGAAATAAAAAAATTAAATTTAAAGGAAAAAAAAAATAACAAAAAATGAGCAAAAACAATAATTTCCGGTATAGGATAATACGCTTTTCAATTCGCTAGGTAAGAATTAAATATTATTACCTAATAAAAATCGAACACGTACAACATTTTGACAAAAATAGTGCGCATTCGCGTTTAAGGTTCACCTTTGAACGCGTTCACGTTTATTCTAAACTTTATGAATAATATTTTTTTATTTAGCCATATTAAAAAAATTATATTATCTTATTTTGATACATATATAAATGCAATAATATAATGTAGTAAAGAAAAATTTATTTTTAAAAAAAATTTAATAATATAAAAACTTTTATATATCATATATAAAATTTAATTATTTACAAAATATAACAAATTTATTGCACTTTAATGTGTTTTCAACAATTAAATTATAAAACTATTGATAAAAACTTAAAATTAAATAATTTTAAAAGATATTATGATTTTTTTACTTAACGTATCTATTAAAATAATCGTAATAATTTAATAATAAGTCTATTAAATACAACAATCTAAAATAAATTAATAACGGACTACTTAAAGTTATATTATTATTTTTCTTTTTAGCTTTCCTTTTCTGGTGGTAAGCTCCTTCAATATCTCTCTCTCCACTTTATGTTATTATCTAATTTATACTTCTTCATATTGGCTCTTAATTTATGGCCCCATTGAAGTTTTGGCCTTCCTTTTTTTACGTTTACCCATCACTTCCAAACTCTCAACCTTATTTCCTATATAGTTCATAGGCCTTTTCATTGTGTGCCCATACCACCTAGTTCTGTTTACCATTATGGGTCTTAATGGGCTACCTTTAAACTTCTCAGTATTCTTATACTTCGCACCTTATCCTTTCTTGTTACCCCAGCAATCATCCTCAGCTTTCTCATCTCCATAGTTTGCAGACTTCTCTCGTCTGATTCTTTGATTGGCAATGTTTCCCAACTATATAGAATAGCTGGTTGTACTATGGAACTGTAAATTTTCCCCTTCAATTTGTATGCGATTTTTTTGTCAAAGAGCACTCCAGATAAAGATCTCCACTATAAGCACCCTTGAATAATTTTACTCTTTATCTCTTTCTCTATTGTGCCGTTCGTTTGTATAGTGGAACCCAAATATTTGCAGCCTTCAATTGCCGATATCTGCCATTCATTTATATCAGTGCTCTCTGTTTCATCTCCTCCTATCACCATATATTCCTTCTTTTCCCTATTTTCTGTGTACGCTTTTCTAGGATATTTGTCCAACTCACTAACTTCTCTCTCATTTTATCCTTGAATTCGTCAAGTACACAATATCATTTGCAAATATCATATTCCCTGTGGGGTATAGACTGTGATAATACATATTACTGTTATATAGAGAAGTGGGATGAGAGTCGACCCTGGATAAACTCCCTTGGTTATTGTGAAGCCTGTTGAAGTAGCAGTGTATGACCAATATAAATATCCTTATTCTTATTTATTTTTCGGGAACCTTTTTCTGGCGTAGCGCCCACCAGATAAGTTTTCTTGAGATTCTATCGAAGGCTCTTTTTAGATCGAGAATGACCATGTGTAGCTTTTTGTTCTTTTCCCTGTATTTTTCGCTCATTTGCCTAATTGCGTGGATGGTATCAGTCGTTGATCTTCCAGGCATAAAGCCAAACTGAGTGTCTCCTATTTCGATTATGCCTCTTAACCTTTTTTATATTATTTTTTAGTAGAGTTTAAGACAGTGTGACGTTAGTTTTATACCCCTGTAATTTTGACAATTGTGTGAATTAGAGATTTGCATCGGGCCGTATTTTTCAAACCCGGCTAGGCCCAAAATTATTTTTAAAAAATTTTGCTCGCCCAGCCTGAACCCAATTTTTTTTAAAAGTTTTGTCGGTCTGGCCCGAACCTGAATTTTTTTTTGAGAAATTTACCGCCCCAGTCCGGCCCGAATTTATTTAAATATAGAAATTAATTTTTACAATTACTCAAAATAAAAGTTATATGTTATATGGCATATTTCTATAAATAAAATCAAATATTTTTATTTTACATAAAAAATTTAATATAAAATTGTAAAATTTAAAAATATTTTAAAAAATTTAAAAAAATTTCTAAAGCCCGGACCGACCCGGCTCAAATTTTTTTTAAAAATTTCGGTTTCCAGATTTCTAGTGTGGATTCACATTATTTTTAAAGATAGGAACTAGATAGCTCTGCCTCCATTTTTGAGGAATCTCTTCTTTTCCCAGTATTTTATTGTACAGATTTGGTAGGAAATGTATTCCGTCTTCTCCTAGAGCTTTAAGGCTTTCTATTGGAATATTATCTGGACCCCTAGCTTTGTTTATTTTTGTATGCTTGAGGCATGTGATAAGTTATATTATATAATAATAAATATCACGAACAAGCCTCTCTTTAAATTAGAAACTTGAAGATTTTGAAACTGTTGCACTCTGTCTTTGGTAGACATATCGTACATTTGATAAGGAAAAGAATTGGTCTTTTGATTTCCTGAATTTTGGCTGTGGTTTAATTCACCTCTGAATCAGATGATGAGGAATTAACAATGTCCATCCATGCTAATCTTATAAAATATAATTAATATTTAAATTAATAAACAATACTATAGGACAGTAATAGTGACAGGTTAAAGAAATCCAAACGTGATAACGAAAAACAATGATTGAAGAATAACCTTTATTTATTAAAAATTGTATAAACTCAAATGATATCTTTTATATTTAATGAAAATAAAAAATAAAAATATTAATACTCTCGAAGTCCAGGGGTTTAAAAATCATTTAAAAAGGTGAAATTAATCTTCTTGGTTCACCTTTAAGCAGTTTTTCCAACTGTGAGGTGTTCGTGGAAAAATTTTTCGAAGACTTATTATAATATTTTAAAAGAAATTCTTTCACACCATAGCTTTTTTCTTTTAAAAATTTTTTTATTTTTACCTAAGATTTTACATATTTTTAGATCTTCTTCCTTTTTTTTAATAATAAAATTATTAATCGTGTTCATAAATTTTTCAGAAGCATATTAGAAAATTTTTTAAATATCAAATTGGAAATTGGAGTTTCTCACAATTACTCTCGGAAATGGGTGGTTTAGATTTATATCCATTAAATCTTATATCTCTTTTATCATTTTGGGCATCGCGTTTGATGAATAACGCCATGATATCTTCTTTTATCACTCCTAAAGATAATTTATTAATTCGGCCTTGACAGCTTAGGTATCTTTAGCTCAACCTGAAGCTGCTTTACCCACAATCTTAACATACCAATTAATTTTCGTACCTTTAATTAAAAACATTTTTAAAATAATCTCATCAAACCCCCTTTTGGAGTATACTCAACTATTACAAAATACTGTCTGTACTAGTGGTTATGAATGGTTGGAAGTAGTGTTGTTAAATGGCTCAATTTTTAAAAACGGCTAACTCAATATTTTAGCCAGAAAAATATTGTCTAAGCCTCGAAATTTAATCAGTAGATGATGAAACCTTTGTGCCACCTATGAGCAAAATCTTAAGACTTGCACAATATTTTTCCTAATAAGATATCATGTTAGCCGTTTTTAAAAATCGGCTCAAAATGAGCTGTTTAACAACACTAGTTGGAAGCATTATCAAGTCGTAACCTAGGTAACCTCTTATCAGATGAACAATTAAGAGTTGCCATAGGCCATCGAATTGAATGTAACATAGTTCAACCACATACATGCATCAAATGTAAAATATTAGTTGACTCCAAAGGGAGACATGGTCTAAATTGTATATATAGTCAAGGCCGATATGCAAGGCATGCAGCAATTAATTTATCTATTAGCCGTTCTCTTAACAGGGCCCGAATACCCAACATCCTAGAGCCTACTAATTTATCATTAGATGATGGCCTAAGACCAGATGGCTTCACTTCCGTGCCTTGGTCTTTAGGGAAATCCTTAATTTAGGATTTCACATGCGTTTTTTTAAATTATTTGATTAGTTGGTTTGATTTTTTTTTATTTATTCTATTTTAATATATTTTTTTTTACCTAAGCTAATAAAATATTCAATATTATAAAATTTAAAAAAAAAAGATTTTTAATAAATATAAGCCAAATGTTTATTTTGCCCCAAAGTAATATTTCAAATTCCCTAGCCAGCCCAACGTTTAAAACTTTATAACCCGCCCTTCCACATCCACCCAAAGTTTGCATACTAAAATTCCGCCCATTGAGTACCTCCAGTTTGAGCATTTGGTTTTGAAGTATCATGAAAGGTGATCATGATCACTCAAAGCACTATCAAAACATATGAATTTGAGATATTGAAATCTATCGTATTTAAATCGTTATCCGTCAAGTGATGACTTTGGGACGTTCAAATCCAATCAGCGCATCCGCGGTCTATAGGATGTCATTAACATAAGATTCAATAGTACAGCTTGAAAGTTTTTATGCTCCTTACCAGGATTAAACCTGCGTCCTTCTTTGTCCTTCTGTTTTTAAGCATACATCTAACCCATTAGGCCACCCCGGTGATATAAAAATGATATACTTAAAAAAATTTGTTTAACACCTCTAGAGTGCTTACTCGCGTGACATATTGCAGCCTGTTTTCCAAATTTTAAAAAAGCTTATTGGGAAGATTTCTACAACTCGAAATATTTATTTTATTCTGCATTATTCCACTGTTACACATTGTATTTAAATAGATAGAATAAACTTTATAATTTAATTTCTCAATTACATTTTTAAATTCTTCTTACAATTGTGATATATAATTACATTACAAAAATTAAGAATATGAAAGTGATATAACTATATTTATCGGACCCTACCTCTCGTATTGTTGATAATATTTAGGCATCGGAGGACTTTAATGCTGATATCATTTTGATAATTGCTTCAGGTTATGAGGCAAAAAATAATTAGAAATAAGAAAGTAATAGACAAATTAGAAAAAGTATTTATAACTTAATCCGTGGACTCCCTACCGCTACCGCTACCTCTATACCCCTCCCCCAATGTAAAAAAAACCAAAATTCATAATTAGCAAAAAGAGTAAATCCATATAAAAATTAGCAAAGCATAAAAAGAAAAAGGAAATCAGAATTAAAATTAAAATTTACAAAGAAATTCAAAATATCCCTTTACTTTACTTCTTATCTCTTTTCCCTGAATATTTTTTTCTTTAGAACCTATAATCTTCTTACTACAAATCACTTTTATTCTAATGTATTGTTGTCATATTCACATACCCTAATATATTCATAACAGCCTTGTTATATTACCCCACATTCCCACCCTCTCCGTGGTAGCTGATAAAATCTTGTTCTTATTTTCCGGTGGAGGGAATTAGCGGGAAAGGAGCAAAAGAATAGATGAGAGTTGTGTTTAGAGGTAAGTCTAATTTTGCCTCCAAAATCTGTGAGTTTACAAATTATTATGTTATAAAGTTGAATTTGATAGAATATTAAATTGAATTATAATTCTCTACCATATTATGTAAAGTAGACTTCACTTAATATTGATAAAATATGAAATTTGAAAGACGATCTATCCCTTGCCCTCACCCCCACCCTCTCTTTAAAAATTTTATGGTTAAGGCTTTAATATCAATTGTGATTAAGGAGTATAATGTAAATTATAATAATCATTTCAAATACTGTATTATTTATTTTATACATGTTTTTTTTTGAAATACTGTCTCTTTAATAATTCATTTTTCTATCTTATATCTACAATATTTAACTTAACTTAATTTAATTTAATTTACATTTTGTTATTTTATTTATAATTATATTGAAAAAAAACTGCTATTTAAATATTCATATTTAAATATTACATAGCTTTCTAGTGTAATGAAACTAACAACAGCTTATTCATTAAATAATAAATAATAAAAAAAATAATAACGAAAAATTAATAACAAGTTGAATCAAATATAAATTAGAAACTTGGACGTTATCGATCATATCTCAAAAGTAAAAATAAATATATTTTGGTTAATTTTTTATATCTAATATTAAGAATAATGTCCTTGGTGACATCAAAGTCAGCTGATAATAAGCTGGAAGAAGAAACTTCTAAGAGTCAATGCCAGGGGATTGATCCTTTTATAGAACTTTACCCAGTTGTTGATGAAAATGAGACTCCTATACCTAGATGCTGGAGCTCTAAAGATAAATATAATTTTATTGGATTGTCACAAAATAAGTTACTAGTCCATTATAAAGGTTATGATCCCAAAAAAATTCATGTTTATAATGTTGATTTATAAAATAAGTTTATTTTGATACCTTAAGATGTTAATTTCCTGAATTTGTCTATTAGCAAAATGAAAATATTTATATTTTTAAATGTTTTAAAATCATTTATACCTTTTATTACTCGTAATAGTGATGGTTGACTTATAAATTTTTATTAACACAGGTATTGGTAAAACCCACAAAGATGCTGCGAGCATAAGGACAGCTCACCCCATTCCAGCCTCATGTGGAATTTATTATTTTGAAGTTAAAATTGTCAGTAAAGGGAGAGATGGGTAATTTTTAATTATAAAAATATATTTTGCATTCATTTATTTATAAAAAACACAATTAAAATAACTCCAACTAGTATGGTTGGGTAAAAGCTGAAGAATGTTGTCTCTGCAGGGGAAAATCGTTAACATTATGGCATTTTAATTTATCATAGTTTCTTCCAAATTTGAATTGCTATCATTTTAAGAAAAACCCTAAGGCCAATGATGTTTTTGGCTAAAAACATATTACCCAACTTTACAAACTAGTTATAACTCCTTTATACTTTATTTTTTTTTAAGTCTTGATTATTCATTTGTGCCAAAATTTAACAATTTTTAAAAAATATTTCCCCTTACAATTAACTATGCAATTTCAGGTTGCAGGGTTACCAGGCCTACTACATTAACTTATAATCTGCCACAATTTTATTTTAAAAGACAAAATCTACCATACTCAACTCATTTGAAATTTCTGAAAATATACCAACCAAGATTTATTTGCCGGAAAATCTCCAACCATTTTAAAATTTTATTTCAAAATAAAATTTGTTATTATTGGATTCTTAATTTAGAGGGCTAGAACTAATTTTATAAGTGGCTTAAAAAGATCCAATCTATGAGTTAGTTTTATAATATATAGTGTTTATAATTCTCCATCTATTTGATCGATGTTAATAGGATCTTTTAAGCTAAAATATTTTTTGATATTCACAAAATTCCTTAGCAATTTTTTTTGGGAGGGGGGAGGAAAGGGGTGTAATATAATTAAAAGTGTAGTTTGAAAGAAAAAAAAATCTTTGAAGATCATAAAATTGAAGTTTTTTTTTAAAATAACGCTGTAAAACCATTTTAATAAAATTCATAAAGTTTCAAAACTCTGGCCAATTTATAAAATTTATTTATAATGTTTTGGATATGTTTTTTATTTTTATATTCTCTCATTTATTTATTTTCATTCAAGTTTCCAAAGTTTGCAAATTTTTTTTGTATTTTTTGGATGTCTTGGACATAGAGCCTAAAGAAGATTCATCATAAAAATGCATAAAAAATCACGAAAATAAATTTATGAACGATTTTTTTTAAATAAGGCCGCATTCATAGTGGGATCGGATCCGACAAACTTTAACAGCTGATCGATTTTAAAATCGGTTTATGAGAATCAATTTTTCTTTATTAAAACCAATATTTCTTAGGTTATTATCATGTATAAAATTAAAGATAAAATTAATATTATTTTTAAAAAAATTGATTCTCATAAACCGATTTAAAAATCAATCAGCTGTTAAATTTTGTCGGATCCGATCTCACTATGAATTCGGCCTAAGAAAGATTTTATATAGGTGTTGCTGGATTCTCACTATTTCGCTTAGACACAAAATATTGTCCATGCTTTTAGGTTTCTCTAATAGATGACCAAACCTTTGTGCCAGCTTATCAGCAAAATCTTCAGGCTCTAGTAATATTTTTCTGGATAAACTCGTAAGATTTAGGCCGCATTCATAGTGGATCCGATCCGACACGATTTAACAGCTGATCGATTTTTAAAACCGGTTTATGAGTACCAATTTTTCTTTATTAAAACCAATATTCCATAAGTTTTTATCATGTATACTCATAAACAGATTTTAAAAATCGATCAGCTGTTAAATCGTGTCGGATCGGGTCCAGTATGAATGCGGCCCTAACCGTTTTTTAAAGATCGGCTCAAATCGAACCGTTTAACATCACTAGAAATATCTATAAAATAAATATAAAAAAAATTTTGATCGATTTTTTGGCGCGTAGTTAAACAACGCCTAATTTTTATCAAAAATGCGATAAAATATTCGAGAGGCGGAATCACGCTTTACGCTTCCGATATTTTTGACCTCGATTTCTCGCCTATTTTAAATATATAACTCTTGTCCCGTTTAAAAAAAAATATTTTGACCAATCGGGAGCCACTTTGAGACCCCATATCTTCCGGTCCAAGTAGAGTTATGGGGGCTAATATTTTGGATTCGTCAAATCGCAACACTTCTTCAATAACACTTATATACCAAATTTTAGCAAATTGTCCTGATGTAAAGGGTGATTGATACAATTTGATTTAAAAAAAAACTTTCGATGCAGCGGCCATCGCTACGTCCTGATATCCCTTCTAACTAGTACCGCTTAATCGCCCAACTTTGACCATCAACTATTATTAAATTGTAGTTTATAAACGAGCTTTTACGGGAAATTGGCTTAAAAAGGTCTAAGTTTGGTCTAGATTTGAGTACTGAGACCAATTTTTATTTTTTGTGTGTGTGTGATATAAAACTTTGCTAATATATATATTTTTTGGGGAGTTGTCTGAAGTTAGGTGATTTAACCACCACTACTTACTAGTGTTCTCAACCCGAACTCCATTTTTTGAGCCATAAAAGTATAACCTATAATACTCGAGATTTCGCTAATATATTTCCAAACCTTGATGCCATCTATGAGAAGAAAAAAAATCTTCAGACTCGCCTAATTTCTTTCTGGATAAAAATATTAAGTTAGCCGCTTTTAAAAATCGGCTCAAAACGAGCCGTTTAACAACACCACTACTTACCGCGCAAAATTCACGTGATAAATATATAGGAGCGAAAAGAAGGAAAAAGGCCCGGCAAATAAAAACAAACAATTAGTCCCAGTTTTCAGGAAAGAATATGCATGAAATGTCTTTCCAAGATTCTAATCCACGATAAACAATTTTGTTGACCTTCCTCTCCTTCCTTCCTTCCTTCCTTCCTTCCTTCCTTCCTTCCTTCCTTCCTTCCTTCCTTCCTTCCAACGCGCTGTTAGATTATGGGTCTCCAATGATCGGTTATTATAAAAAATAATGGTGTCAAAATCATGATCTTTATTAGGATCGGCACCGATATTTATCGTTTTCCAAAAATATCGGATAGGGCCGATATCTGTAAAAACCCGATACAATCTTTTTACTTTACTTTTTTTTGTTTGTTTTTTTATTTTACCTTATTACAATTTTTTCTAAATATTATATATTTTTTTAAAAAATAATGTAGATGCACAACACCCTCTAAATTTTATTTCTTTTTTAAAAAAAAATAGATTTATAGTATTTTTAGTAAGTTTTTTTGTAAAAATAGTTAGGAACACCCGAAGTTTTATTTATTTTAAATCTTTTTAAATAATAACGCCAATTTTATTAATTTATACTTTAAATAAAAGATTTTTTTTAATGGTATATCTGAATTTTGGAAATATTTTACAAAAGACAAAGATAATTTTTAAAAAATGCGTTATTTGCGGAATCATCTGAGTCTGTCTTCAGCACGTCAGGGGATATAGATAATCCAAATCCATATCGTAGAAGCATATTACCAGAAAATCTAGAGGCTCTCATATTTATTTAAAAAAAAATATAACATATTATAATTTTATATATGAAATATTACAATTTTATAATTCATACCAACATAAAATAGACATATTATTACTTATATATATTTTTTTAAAATTATAGTCTTGATTGTAGAAATAAAAAAAATTAAATTAAATGCATAAAAAATATTGATTTCTTAATTACAATTGGTTCAAAGGGGAGGTGGTGGTGAAAAATCAGTATAAATAATCCGATCGATATCGGATCGGTTTTGAAGCAATATCAGAAAATGTCGGATAGGATTGGATCGGCGAAAAATATGTGGATCGGCACAGTCCTAATCTTTATCATTGTCAAACTTAATCTCGATATTTCATATACACTTGTTGAAATTATATTTATTTATATAACCAATATCAAAGAATTCAAAAATAAAAACAAAGGAAAATCGTCTGATCTCGAATGATAATTAATTTCAATATCGATTCTTCTCGAAAGTATTAACAAAACGTTCATAAATGTCAATTACAAATTGAAATCAAAAACAAAGGAAAATCGTCTGATCTCGAATGATAATTAATTTCAATATCGATTCTTCTCGAAAGTATTGGCAAAACGTTCATAAATGTCAATTACAAATTGACAGATACAACAAATATAATATTCGAATTTGGGAGCGCCGAATTGTCTAGGTCGAAACATGTCATGGCGACCCCACTTTTTATCATTCTTTCATTCGATCGATATTTCGTTTGTTGCCTTGAAGAATTTTTTTTTAAAAATATTTTCTTCACGTTTTTTAAAAAAAAAAATATTTGATTTGTAAAAGTAATTATCGTTTGTTTAATAATATATTCCTCACGGATATCGCACATTCCTTCTCGGGATGATTTAAATCCTAAACAAATTGCAATCGTGCGATAAAAACATATTTTTCTTGATTTATACTTAATACTTGTTGAACTTTAAATACATTTCACGAGTAATCTTTAAATTCGAGTTCTGCCGTAAAAATCATCTTTATAGATGTCTGTCACTCTCTTCTATATCGTGATCAACGACATTATAAGAATAACTAGACTGATGATGATGCATTCATAATAATGTATTTCGATTCGAAAGCGTCGTTGAATGTAAATCAGCTGGATCCGCCATTTTGGTAACCCATATAGTGATTATTCTCACGTTAAAAACTGAATTGATAACCTGCTTCCTTATTATCTCGATGATCAGGCAATTCTTTAATAAAGTTGGCGTTAGATACAGGAATAACTCTCGTTTAAAATTTTTTAAATAATGATATGGGTAATCAAAATGGCGTCCCCAGCTGTTTTCATTGACGTACACTTTTAAATGAATGGATCGTCAGTCTAGGTATAATTATATGTCATTGATTTGATGTGAGCTCTAACCTTTTTTTTTTCCTCATTAATTCACTAAATATTTGCCATTTTTATTACAGGAGTATTTGAAAGATTATATATTCTTTTTAGAAGAAATCTGAAGTGAAATATTTAAAACTGACAGATATAATACATAGTAGTTATCTTTAAGCTTTCGTTAATACAGCTGATTCAGTTTTAAAATTTATCATATTCGCTATTATATCGTATCTCCTATTTTTTTTAATATCAACGCATGCGCAACATACGCTTTTCAAATTTTATCATAGCGTTATCATCGTAACGTTCCATATTTATAAATTACCTATTTATATTGGCTTTAAATTTTGTAGTAACGCCACGCTCGAACAAAACGCGTTTAAACGCGGCCTTACTCCTACTTCTTCTTTCTAGTAAAAATGACAAAAGTTAATCAAATCTTCGGATTTTACCAAAAAATTTTTTGCCTTTTTACGAGGCGCCATAAAAATTATCTATTTAAAAAAGATAACAATATAATGATCAAATAATATTTTTTTAAAATTTATTTAGATTGACAAATTGATCCACCTAAAATGTAAAAACTATCTTCTTCTTTTTTTTGGAAGAATAAATTGATAAATATTTTATTTGTTTTAACAATGCCGTGATGACTGGCCACATTTTTTTTTAAATGCTTGTTTTTTTAGTATTGTACGTACTTTAAAACGGCCATATTTGGGGCGATTTTTTAAAAACTGTCCGATTAAAATTTTTAGCCAAAATATTATTATTTAAACCTGGAGAATTTGCTCATGAGTGGCGGAAGGGTATTCGAAAAATATAGATTCGTAATTGGTGTATTTGGAATGGGGGGGGGGGGTGGCGAAATGTTTTGATTGGATGAAATGTACTAAAAATTTTTAAAAAAATGATAACTGAGAGTAAAATTAAAGGAAAGAGATAAGAGGGGGTCTGGTTAGTTGAAGGTGTTAATGTTTATGGGTTAGCATTAATTATTATATATTAAAAATATTCATTTTTTTTAAATATTAATACCCTGTTTTCTCAAATCAGCTGTTAAAACGGGATTTTTCCTAGAATTAGACCAAATTTATTATTTTGGCACCCTGCCGTCAGATTTATTGGCCGAATTTTTTGGAGTGACATTATTTTAAATATTTTTTTTCACAAAATTTAAAAGGTACATGGGAATTGGTTTATCATCTCAAGGAGTCAGCATGAACAGATTACCTGGTAACGTATTATGATTTATGATATTGTAATTAAAAACAAAGAAAAAAAACTTAAAAAGAAATTAAACGATAAAGAAAAAAAAGTAAGAAGGAAATGGAAAAAGAAAAGAAATAAAACGAAAAATTAAAGGTTGGATAATTTTTTTTTAAAAAAAAATAGGGTGGGACAAGCACTCCTATGGGTATCACGGAGACGACGGGCGTTCTTTTTGCTCGTCGGGCACGGGTCAGCCTTACGGACCCACCTTCACTACCAACGACATCATAGGCTGCGGCTTAGATTATGTTAAAAACACCTGTTTTTACACCAAGAATGGCGTTGATCTAGGTATTATATACTTATACATGTACATATTTACATGCAGTAAAACTTGTCTAATCTGAGCTCTCGATAATTCGGACGACTCCCTAATTTGTCCAAAATTTTGAGTGCCAATCAAATTCCCATTAACCTATACAATGTAGGTTAGAAAATACTTTGATAAATTGGGCCTAAGTTTGGCCAAAATTGGACAGGTTTAGCTATCTACCCGAGGAATGGGTGTGGAGAGGAGGAAGGATAGGGAATATTGATGGGTATTATAAACGGGAATTACTTCTTACCCTACATATTGAACCGTATAATTTGAGCATAGGGTTTTCTTATATAGCTGATTTATCATCAAGTATTTTATCTCCATCTATTATTTTTTCCCCATCTATTATTTTTTCCCCTTCTATTTCTATTGATAACTTTTCCCAGATCACGATTGGGGCTCGGTCAAAAAAAAACATATTTTTTAAAAAAAACAAATTTTCAAAAAAAAAAACAAAATATTTTTTCCAAAAAAACAAATTTTCGAAAATATTTTTTTTGATCCCATCTCTAATCATGATCTGCAATTATTTATAATAATTATCTCCCTATTTTTTTTTATATATGAAGGTACCGCCTTTCAGGATGTACCGGTGAGTCCGCATATTCATTCATTCATTCATTTTTTTTTACCTAAAAAATATGTCTTCGATTTGATTATTCGGGAAACGAGTTATGGGCGCCATTTTTTTTAAATGCCGAAAATTTTGAGTCATCTTATATGCATTTATCCCTGCTTTAGGTTTGTTGGAGATTTGAATTTTTAAATAAATATTTTTTTAAAAAAAAATAAAAAAAAATGGCGGAACGCGAGCGAGATAAAGGAAGGAAATGAATCATTATAATAATGAATGAATGTAAACTAAATTCTATAATAATTATACGCTATTTTCTCCTTAGCCTAATTTATATCCGACTGTTGGTCTTCAAACTCTCGGGGAAACCGTCGAAACTAATTTCGGCCAAAAACCATTCGTTTTCGATATTCGCGATAAACTGAGGGTACGAACGTTTAAAAAAAATGCGTAAAGTCTCGCCTCTTAATTTTTTTAGTTCTTAATTTCTGAATGGAAGCTTTTATTTTGTAGCAATTTGACCTAAAATGGATGATCCTTTTTTTCTAAAAAGTCGCATCCTATTTAGACCTATTTAGACAGCTATTTAGAATTCTAAATAGGAAAACAAATGATCTAGGGTGCGGTCTTTATTATTTATTTATTTTGGCTAAGGTTCTTAATTTATTTGAGATTCCATGATATTCTACTTAAACGCTACCAATTTTTTTTCCGCTTATCACGTTTTATATATTAGATTTATTTTTTATAGATTTCTTGATAGTTAAAATATTGTTTCGAAATAGTATACAGCAGAGACCTGCCGGCTCGGGTATTTGAGTCGAGCCTTATTATTTTAATATACCCAAGCTGGGCCGGAAAATATAAAACTCAGGCCGGGCCGGGCCGGGCCGAAAAAATCTGGGCCTGTCTGTGCGAATGATCTTTCCGCAGGTCTCTGGTATATAGATCATTTAGCGATATTAAGAATTGTCTTAGATGCTCTTGAATTGTCTAGTTAGCTATTCAGATATTTCCAATTTATTCTTTTTAACGAAGCAATACCGACTTCAAATTAAAAACGAAATCGCAAATTTTCCCGTAAAAAACGAAAAATTTGAGTGGGGCCAAACTATGCAAAAGTTAATTTTTAAATTTCATTTTTCAAAATTAAAATAAAAAAAAATCATGTGTTAATTATGCTTACTTATTCCTTATTAATTTTTATTTTTTTTTAAAAAAAAAATACATTAATACCCACTTCCGCTACGAAATGAATGAATGAACAGAATAATATTCGATTATCTGGTTCATCAGGGTTATTCGGAAACTGCCAAATGCTTTGCCAAGGAACGCAAAATCGAGACTACCCACATCGATTGGAAAAACGTGGAAAATAGACAAAGTTTCGTTTTATATATATATTATATATAATATCTGGGTATTTTTAAACCTTAAAAGAATCGCAAGTTTTTTTTAAGTCTCCTTTTATTTAGTTGTTTATTATTAGAGAGGCACGGATACCCTAACTTATAACGCGATACTCTTAACCAACTCTAAACCCGTTTAAACTGAGAAATTCAAAAATACACTTAGAAAACTTTGATAAATACTCCACTTATTCTCTTATAATCGGGCTTGTTAGATGATTCCTTTAGCCCTTCAATACTCAGGTGGGCTCTATGGGATCTCAAGTGTGCTATAATTGAATGGTTATTATTTTTATGATCTGGAATCTTTAGTAGCTTCTTTAAAAATATTTTAGAATATACATTCTAAATTTCATTTATTTTGGTGGATTAATCTTTATGATATAAGCATTTAGCGAGTGATTATGGTCTATGAGATCCCTACTAGAATAAATTCGTAATTTTAAAAAATAATTTTCATCTAAAATTATTATAATTGTAAATTTTTAAATTCAATTGTTTTTTATTATATTTTCAATTTCAAATATTTCATAACGTTTAAAAAAAATATATTAAAACTTTTTTAAATTATAAAAATTTATTAAATGGGGTGGACTTATTTTATCTTACTTCCTTCCCATTAACTGACTCTTTTTTTTAACTTCATCATTTTATTATGATTTTTTTGAGATTCTGAAAGTAATTATAAATTTATTTAAAAATTTAATATCATTTACCGTATATTTGAGATGAATATAATAATAAATTCAATATATGTATGATAGTGATCATGATGCACATTCTTAATTAAATGATGAAAAAGATAGGGAGGGGGGGGGGGGGTGGAAGGGTATAAATTCTCAAATTTTCATAAAAATCCCTACTATTTACACCTCCCCCCTCCAAAATTTTGTATACAATATATGGTTATAAGAAAGAATTTGATAGAAAGATTAGTAAAAATTAATAACTTTTTAAAATAACGACTTAATTTTTTATGAAAATCTAATATTGCCAAAGGCCTTACAATAAAGATCTCTGATAAAATTTATGGTGAGAAAAAAAATTCACCTATTTTATAGCATAATCATGGATAAATTGTATCAACCATGTGTCAAATATAAATCACTATTTCATACATGGTATTGCATTCGCGATAATAACTTTGTGTTAATACATTCGCGATAATGCATTCGCGGTAATGTCTTTGCTCTAATACATTCACTATCATTCGCGATAATGCATTTGCTGCAATACATTCACTGTAATGCATTCGCATGTAATAATCAATTCAATTTAGTGCCTAGCAACATTTTATCGCGCAGCACTTTATTATGCGACTCTTTATCATGCGACAGTTGAACACACGACACTTTATCATGATATACTTAAAACCAGGGATTCGAACCGAACCCGAACCCGGAGAAGTGAACCCGGGTTTTTAGAAAAAAACTCTGAACCCGAACCGAACCTGAACCCCATTTATAAAATTTTCAAAACCCCGAACCGAACCCAAGAATTTTATTTGAACCCGGGTTCAATCGGGTTCAGTGTATTATTTAAAATCATATATTAATATATGTAAATACAAATATTATTTTTTCAAATTTCCAATTAAATGAAGTCTTAATAAATTTTAAACAACTTAATTCATTTATGCCATTTTTAAATTTATTCTCGATAATTATTGGAGTGTTAAAAAATTTTAAACAATTGAATTAATTTACGCCATTTATTTTTAAATTTTTATCTTATTATTCTTAAAGATTATTAATTAGAAGAAAATGGTTAACAAATCAAAGTAAAAATTATTATATTGTTAATTTAAAAAATTCTAAACATCTAACTTAAAAATTGTTAAATGTAGGGCAGTTTTTGTGAACTTATTAAAATGATTTTAAAATTTATATATGCTAATCATTTATTTTTGGTTCAGTTTAATTTTTACAAGATATTAATGAAGTGCATATTATAAATGAAATTAAATTTATAAATATCTCTTTTTTAATTCTGAAATCATTGCTATTTAAAAAAATTGTTCTCTTTTTATAGATTTAAGATTAAAGATAAAGTCATATTTGATAAGCATTTTACCCTTAATACAATAGAAAAAAAATCAATATGTTCATATTAAAGTAAAAATGTCTGGTAATCACTTGTCAAATTTAGAAAGACACCTGGAAAAAAATCACAACAATGAATATTTAAATTATTTAAATGAAAAAACCAAATATCAGGAATTGTTATTGGCAAAAAAACCTAAAATTAATATAGAAACCTTTTTTCCAAAAAAGCATATAAGTATAAATATATCATCTAATGATTTGATGAGTTCTATACTAGAACTTGTTACTGTAAATGGCCGGCCTTTATCAATTATTGAAGATTCGGGATTTCAAAGAATTATAAATCCACTCCTATCTGGGCTCAATTTAGTTATAAACAAAGAAAATTTATCCAGAACTATTAATAAAACAGCCCAATCAATTAGAGACAAAATATCGAGAGAGGTAGAAGGAAAATTAATAAGTTTAAAAGTTGATGCAGTTCAACGACTAGATAGGTCAATTCTTGGTGTAAATATTCAATTAATATCAAAGTCCATTATAAATTTGAGGACTCTTGGAATTGTAGAGCTGAAAGAGAGATGTACAGGAGAATATATAAAAGAGAATATATTAAAAACTTTACTAAAATTTAAAATTAATATTCAACAAATATACACAATTACTTCTGATAATGGTTGTAATTTTTTAAGAGCTATAAAGCTCCTGCAACCTGAAACTGATTATGATATAAGGAGTGAATCAGCAGATGAGGAAAATATGGATGTAAATGTATATAAATATGATATTGATGATATACAAAATACTTTTTTATCAACTATTTATCCTATCCGATTTATAGTGTACGGTGTGCAGCTCACACACTTCAGCTGGCACTTCAAGATGCTATAAAATTATCACCTATTGTGGAAACCATTGCAAAAGCTAGGAGCCTAAATTGAAAATTAAGACATCCCACTTACCAAAAGTTATTAAAAAATATGAAACTCCCTAAGCCTGTGTTAGATTGCCACAGATGGCATTCAACCCATGATATGTTAGAAAGGCTGATTTTACTAAAACTCAATATCGAAGATTTTTTTACAGAGCAATCTGATTTGAAATTTTAAAACCGCTAAAAATCGCAACCAAACAATTCCAATCTGAACAGTTAACACTGACAGATTTTTATGCAGCATGGTTAAGATGCTGCATCGAACTGGAAAAAAATCCAAACCATTTTGCTCAATTACTATATTCTTGTCTTAAGAACAGAGAAGAAAGGTTTATAAAGAACGAAATTCTCTTAGCTGCCATATACCTGGACCCAAGATACAAGGTTAATTAAAAGCTTAGTAAATTAATTATTTTAGATTTATATTAAAATTGTTATTTTATGAAATATTTAAATATAAACAATATAAATCCTTAAATATTACAGGTATTACTTAGTGATGATGATAAGATTTGTGCGAAAAAACATCTTGTCAATTTATGGAGACGAATTAAAAGCTTAACAACGCCGATTTTATCTGATGATATTAGTTCCGATGAAGTTATTGAACAAGAAGATGATTTAGAGAAATTGATACAACTTAAAGAAAGGCAGGAGAAAATACTTAAAAGAGGGCCAACGATTGCTGAGAAAAGTATTGGAACAATAATTACTGGATTTAGCGATTATAAAAGATTAGATAAGAAGGAAAATATTTTGCATTTTTGGGAGTCTGCTAAGCTGGAACACCCTGAATTATATATTTTATCTAAAATCTTATTTGCTGTTCCTGCAACCCAAGTTAATTTTTCATATTTTCACATATAAATACATTTAACATAGGTTAGCGTTGAAAGATCTTTTTCACATTTGAAATTCATTCTTTCACCACATAGATCGAGGATGAGTGAACAACTCTTGGAAGATATTATGCTAATACGTCTAAATAAAATTTTTAAAATTGATACATGACTATATGCTTTGTATTTTTAACTATATTTGCCTATAAATAAAATAAAAAATTTATTTTTTATATCAAATTTATGTCTAGTTTTTTATTATGATTTAAATATAGAATTTTTTTTATCAACTCAAAAATTCTTGAACCCGAACCGAACCCGAACCAAACCCGGGTTCAAAAATATTTCCCTAAACCGAACCCGAACCGAACCCACCTTTTTTTTTATACCCCGAACCCGAACCGAACCCGGCAAAAATTTTGTCGGGTTCGCATCCCTGCTTAAAACTTAATTTAATATATTTGAAAAGTTAAATTTTAATAATATCTGATTTTTTTGGCTTTTCCGTTTAAATTTCGATATTTAAAAAATTTTATTTAATTTTTATAAGTATAATTTTTTTAACTTAATTATTATCTTATAGGTAACGGGAGACATAAGGAATAAGAATGATTTCAATTTATACTTTCAGTTGTCCCTTCGCAATAAATACAACACCTTTTCCTTATATTAAAAAATTTAATATACATGACTTTGTTATTTTGAATCTTTTATCTTCTATTTTAAAATTTAATTGGAAGATAAATTATATAATATAATATATAAAAAAATTATCGAGAACTAATTTCAAAGTCCTATATTTTTGTTTTTATGTTTGAATGTATTGAATGTTTTTTATTTTAATATGACTATTAATTAAGTAGCGATTCGTTTATTTGTGGTGTAAACCTGTAATTACTATTAAATTACTATATATAAATCTATATTCAATTATTGAGCATTATAAATTAAATAATTTCAGTTAATTTTATTAATACGTGGGTTAAATCTTATTATAATTAATATATTTGTTTAAAAAAAAGTAAAATATAAAAATATATAATTCAATAAAATTTAATCCGCAAGGTGGCGTTTATTGTTTTTAAATATCATTTGGAAATATAATAATAATAATATTTATTTATATTTCATTTGTATATTATATAAATATCAAAAAT